ACTATATAATAAAGTTTGAAACTTATATAATTTCTAAAAACTTATCTATTCGTATAAGTGCGCAGAAACATTGTTCATTACTTTTTTTCGCTTATACAATTTTTGGCTGACCTTCTTTATAAATTAGACATACATAACGCGTTTTTTGGCACGAGGATTCGAGGTGCAATTTCGTACATAAAGCAACATACGTTTGTCTAAAGCCAATTCTTGTGGATTGACAGGTCCGCGTCTGCGAAATTTGAGATGATGGATGGAACATAACGGTTACCAAAACGAGGAATGATGAAAGTGAAAATGAAAACGCGATGAAGATCTTGTAATGTATTCACATAGTTTTTAAATAAATTGCAATAAGAATCTTCAAACATCTCTAAATGACGACTGAGTTTTTTCTCGTAGGGTTAGGTAGGGTAGGGTTATAGTAATCGACGAATAATCGAAAATAAAAAATTTTGGATTAGGAGGTGAAGCATCAAAAGATTAGTTTTTGGGGAAAGCGAAAAAATTTTTGATTTTAAAATTCAAAAAAAAAATCTAAACATTATTAACTTCCCGTAGGGTAAGTTATTGTAATGGGCCGAAAATCGGAATTGAAAATTTTTACATTTCTCGACGTTTTGAAGGTTTCTGAACATTTTGGCATACCTCAGAAAAAATGGATGTGTGTGTGTGTGTGTATGTATGGATACAAATTTCCAGTCACGTTTTCGGTCGCACGGATGAACCGATTTAAATGGTTCAAAAAACATTCCATTCCTATCGATAGGGAAAAGAGCTGATTAGTTTTTGGCAAAAGCAGGTCCAGCCGTTTCGGGGATACGGAGCAAAGAGTGCAGAAAATAGAAATCGACTTTTTGAGAGAACGAAGTATCCGATTTGAATGATCTAAAAAACATTCAATTAGTAATGATTGGGAGAAGTGTTTATTAGTTTTTGGCAAAGGCAGGCCCAGCCATTTCGAAGATACGGCGCTAAATATGTAAAAAATGGCAGTTTTTGAGAGAACTAAGCGTCCGATTTGTATGATTCAAAGAACTTTCTGCTTGTATTAACAAAATAATTGATTTTGAAAAAAAAAATTATTTATGAAATAAAAAATATTAGACAATGTTACAATATTTATAATAATCTATTTGAAAACATTCAGTATTCCTCGAACATTTCATTACGGTACGGGAAGTTCCAGCAATTTGCCTTAAGACACGATGCCATCCACCCCACTAGTATTTTTTCTAATTGTAATTAATAAAATTTCTAAACATTATTTTTTCTCTTATCAATATTTCTATTAATATTGAAAATAATTTGGATTTTAACACTTTCCACTCGCGAATTCCTAGATTTATTTATATGAATTTTGAGGAGCAGCGGCATCCGAGTCGGAAGGGTTAATTTTGATTATGGGTAAAATTTTATAGCTCACCTATATATTTGAAATAATTTTACAATTCAGTTTATATAATCTTAAAAATATGAGATAAGGTCTTTATTCATACTCCGCTTGATTAAGATTCTTTTTTATAATTATTTTTAATATATATTCAAAAATGTGTGGTAAAATATACAAAGTACATTAAACTATAATCTCAAATGACCCCATACAAATAAAAATTTTCGTTATTTGATATATCATATTGCGTCTCTTGGCAATCTGGACCACGAGTCACAATTAAAATATCCATTTAACTAGAAAATCCATTTAAATCTCGCTTAAAAAAATTAATTTCATTGAATTTCAGTATTGATTTCGTTTGAATAAAATTAAAATTTGAATGAAATGTTCATATAGTTCAAAAAAAATGATGCATTTTGCAAAAAATGCCAAAAAGCAGTGACTGATTTTGAGAAAAAAAACTTAAAATTGAATATATTTTACAGTAAAATTAATTGTAATATTTTTCGAAAAAATGTAGAAGCGCAGTCAGTGCGCTGAACTAGCGGCAGTGCTCGTATGTTACGTAATTAAGCACGTGTACACATTCATCAATCCATCATAAGATTCTCTACAAATGATTCATCTATTTTTACGCACACGACGGAAAAAATATGCGGTATATGTTTTCTCATAAGTTAATTATAAATTGAAAATAAAGCTGGAAGTCATTACTTAAGAAGTACAGTCCGTAAATTGCATTTAGTAAATTGACATTTTATTTATTCGAACTTCAATTCAAATCTTCTTATACAAAAAAATAAAATTTTTGGGGGTTAATAAATTTCAAACCAAAAAAATGAAGATTAAATTAAAAATCTAATTTTAAGTGAAAATACAAATAAAAACTTGAGCAAAACAAAAAATTAAAAAACATTAAACAAAAAAAAGATGTGATTGTGATGTGACCGGTGATTGAATGAATATTCGAAATTGGTATACGATCGTAAAAATCATTTATTACGAAGTATTAATATAGTAATAAGGTATAAAATCAACAATCAAGTATTTGGATTATATCAAACAACATCGTGAGATATTTAAGGTCTATTTTGAAATCCATATTAATTTATGAGGATGGATAATGAGTACAATATAATTGAGATTATCATTTCAATGTTTAGTTATTTTGTTTTCTTAATATTCTGTTTATTATTTACATTTTTTATTTTTGTATATAGGTTTAATTTTTTTATTTTCATCTTCAACAATTTTGTATTAAGATTTGATTGGCAAAAAAATGAAAGTAAAATTACGATAGCAGATGAATAAAAGAAGCTTCAGAAGAATTAAATGCATTGTATATTTTTGTGACCTTGATCAATCATTGCTCAAAATTTGCACAATATTTCATACGTATCGAACACAGAACACAACTGACTTTTTTCAGTAGACGCGACCACTTTTAAAATGCATTATTTCAACTTCCCGTAGGGTAAGTTATAGTAATCGTAAAAATTCGAAAATGAAAATTTTTGCATATCTTTACGTTTCAAACGTTTCTGAACATTTTCGCATACCTTATGCATGTAATAATTATAATTTTTCGCAAATGTTTTCGGCAGCACCGCTCAACTGATTTCAATTATTCAAAAGTATCGATTCCTATTGATTAGACGTGCTGATTAGTTTTTGGTAAAAGTTGGTTCAGCCGTTTCGGAGACACGGAGCAAAGAATGCAGAAAATAACAATTTAGTTTGTGAGAGAACAGAAAATCCGATTTGAATGATTCAAAAAACATTCCAATTGTATTGACGTAGTAAAGATTGATTAAGTTTTTGCATAGGCAGATATTTTTTGAAACCACAGTCCAGCGGTTTCAAAGATCCAAAGAAAAAGGTTTGAAAAAAAAGACATTTGGCGGTCGAAAATTAGATATTTTGTAATTTGAAGCAACCGATATGAATGGGAATCAAAAACTTTCAAGAAATGCAAAATTTTCAGAAAATATCAGTATTTTCAAAAAAAGGAATTTTTTTCAATAGTCAAAATTTGAAATGTTATCAGAATTTTCAAAAAAAAAAAAAAAAAAATTGTGGAAAACATCTGATTCTTCTTTTTTGAAAGTTTAAAAATACTAAATTATGGTACGGGTCATACCAGCAATTTGCTTTAATTTATTAAATTAAAAACTAGTAAATAATTTAAACAATACCTGTCGTATGTTTTTCGCAATTGTTGTAATCAAATACGAATAATATTTAAAAATAGACTAAAGTTGATTTTAAACAAATTTCATTTCCTTTACGACAAATATATAGAAATTGTATTGAATCTACAATCTACCGTTTACTATCCATACACCGCCCTGCTCGTAGTAGTCCATATCCGCGATCGATACGCAAGCCCCACACCCCTAAATAGGCGCATTGAGCAATGAAGTACTATGTGCGAAAATATAAACGTTTAAAATAATATAGCATAGAGTAAAATAATTTACCTAACTAACGTTTAAAATACTTTCGAAATTATGTCCAAAATGATATGATCAAAAAATTACATCATAATTACTTCGAAAATGGTAATCATTGAACTTATGATTCATTTTCTGTTTATCACAAATCAATGGAAGTTTGAACTTATTGAATTTAATTTTAAAATATGATCGTCATTCATATAAAAAAATCATTTGCATAAACAATTGATGAAATAGCAGATTTGATAAATATTGTGCAAATTCACAGAATTTTGTTGAAATACTTGAATTGATTGAATTGAAAACATGATTCATAGTTAATTTTTTTTTACAATTGTCAAAGTAGCTAGCTAATTCGTACGAATATATCGCATACACATATTTATACATATTCGATATATTCCAGCCAATGAAAAAAATATGATTGTAGCGCGTCTACAAATTATTTATGGAGAACCTTTGAGGAACAACAGAATTTCACTGCTTTCCTCGTACACGTGTGAGAGGGAAGGAAAATCGATGACGACATGAATTACGTAACTCCTGAATTTCAGATGTAGAAGGTACATGCAATCAATTTTAAATACCTAATGGTATTATGCATATTACAAATAAAACCTAATTACATATAATTGATGGCATATTGCAAGACAGACGCTATTATTTTGATCAAGCGTAGGTAAAACAATTTGAATGTCCAATAGGTAACGGAATTAATTTGAATATGACGCCGTCATGTGTTTATTATTGCTGCATAATAAATGAATTTATTTATGTACTCGGACCCTTCTCGATTCTGAATATGCTTCAGAACTACTGATAAGACCATATTTTAAAAATTGGTTCACGTGTATGCAAAATATTCTACAATTAGGTTCTGAGCAACATATACTTTAAAATAGATATTTTGCATAATACGCTTGTGATATGAGGTGAAGTTACTATTTTAGTTCAGGATTAAATTCCTAGATCGTTCATAGGGCATTGCATAATCGCATAAACGCATTATCGCAAAGGTCCTGCACATTGCTTCGAATGCTTTCGAAACCATGTGCTTCTCTGTTACAGTACACCGCGATCGATAAACCAGAACTCCGTGTCAGGGCAAGCATCTTTCATGAAATTTTTAAACTAATTATTGCACTCACCTTCATATTATTTTCCACAAGATATTCTGAGGTGCATAGTGCATAGACGATGTAAGCCCGAACGAGCTCACTTGTCTTTTTACTTTTGAAGGCTGCAACGTGATCGTTGAATGATATGTCCAAAGGGTCTTTCTGTACATGGGCTTGAGCTGGGCTTGCAACATGTTGACTTTTTGAAGAATCTGTATTTATTCCATGTATATGAGACGCACACGGTGTCGACAACGATTGCAAACTGTTTGGTATTATGCCGAACTTTCTTAGTAAATTATTACACTGAATAGACGATCTCAAAAACGCCATTACACAATAGGTTTGGATTTAATTTAATTTTCTTCGGTTCGAAATTATCGCAACAATAACAGTAATAAGTTTCTTTTTTTTTAGTACGGTCCGATTAAATTCAATTGAGACGATTTTTTTTATTATTCTTTTTTTTTGTTTTTGGTAGTTTCACGGACCGGCGAGCATGAACTATCAGGACGGAGCTCAAACACTCTGTTGTGACCGCAGTTGCGTGGATAACTCGCGGAATGGGTAACTCGGCGAATCGCTAAACCGCTACAACTTCACATCGATGCCCTACTGCTGCGACTAGCGTCACTGCAACGAACTGCCTGCACAATATCATACAACGTCCTACGTGCGTTTGTTTGCTCTGAAATCGAAACCGCATTCAATCATATATTCATATTACACCTTAAAATAAATACTAATTATTTTTAATATGCAAGAATAAACCAACGTTATGCACTAAATGTATCAAATATTATACATATGTATTACTCAATAAAATTAAATGGCAAAAAATATTTTTGAGAAAAAATATGTAATTTTACAAAGAGACGGACGATTTAAATATTTCATTGCTTTCTATTATACGTACTAATTTTGTTTATCTTAATAATCAATAAAAATTTATTTATATAAAATTGTTTTTGAATATTATTATGAAATTAATGATCGTAACGATTACATTTAAAGGTTAATTTATAAGCTATATTAAAAATTAATAAATGATATAAATATCCGTATTATAACTAATTTAATCTACAAGTTATAAAACTAAGCGTTTATGTATGATGTAAATAGATTGCCACTTTGATTGACTCCGGAACAATTATTTCCGGAAATAAGATCTCATATTTACCTGTCATTTCAAATTTGACGAAAAATTTTAGATTTTTTTATCTTTTATTTTTATAATTTATATTATGTAAACACGCTTGTCATAAGTTATTATTTCTATGACTTGCGTCGTTTTGTAAAAAAAATAACATGATTGCGAATTTTGAGTGAAATTAAAACAAAACAACGCAAGTCTAAATATATTTCAGTTTTCAATTACTGAAAGTTTTTGAATGTCAATGATCAAAGTTGTGTGTAAATGAAACAAAAACGAAAGATTTGACGCACCAGCTGAATTTTATTTATATGAGCGTTAAAATTAAGGTTCATTATATGTCTCGATTATTTTGACAACATATTGGTCGAAAATTATCAAGAAATTAATATGCTTATATTATACAGAAGCACCTGTCACTTCTAACCTGTTAAGTCATGCCCTCGGCTAAATTGATTATCGTTGAACATGATGCTTGTGAGAGCAAATATATAATAAAATATAATAACATTATAAAAACGTCAAGCAAATCAGTAACAATTGAAAACAATAAGCTTCGCCGCAACAGTAGCAAATCAGCTGGGGACTATTGTGTTTATGATGATGTAACTCCTACTAAAGTTAATGGAATATTTCTGCACTACTTTATTAAGGAACTGGAAAATTCACATATTTATAGAAGATGTGTTTTAAGATACTTTAAACGGCACTTAAAGTACTGTAACTACGTAACAGTCTTTATGCTAGTTCCACCGTGTAGGCAAATAATAGATTACCAATGGTGAGTGTCACTTCGCTACATACATATAAGAACAAAAAATTTCCATCAAATGTACTTACTAGACTTACTAGCATTCTCTTGTTTGCTACATTATACCGGTTTTATTTTGTATTCACATCGATTATGGCATTATTTTTACTTTAGTATTTTATGAGTTATGACACCAAATTCATTTGTTTATTGGCAACACTAGATTTTGAAAACTTGTGATTTTTTTCTATGCGAGCATATACTTTACATTTGTATGAAGTTTGATTTTTTTTTCAGGGCTGATCGGGCATCATTGATTGCTTGGGAAAGAGCAGAATTAGATCATGCAATGTCATGGTTAAGTACTTTGGGTGGTGCCTTCTCTGCTCTTGGTGAAGAATTTATTTATTGCGTAAGTATAGGATTGATATATATATATATATATATATATATATATGATTTTTTTTTTTTTTTTTTTGAAAATTTGTGTGTGATATTTATTCTATTACAGGCTGAAATGGCTGGGAAGATATCATACCACCAATTAAGATTAGCTTTAAGGTAATATTAACAAATATGATTTTATAACAAGTGTTCATTTACTAATGTATATTGATGAACTGCAGATTAGGAGATCCTACAACTGTCGCTAGATGCAAATTGTATTTAAGTTTATCATTAATTCAACGTGGGTCACTACTACTAGCACGCAGAATTATATTAGAACAATATAACATTGCCAAAAATTCTAATTTTGTAGATGCAAGATTAATAAATATGTGTAAAGGAATTTGGTCAAAATTACAATATTGTTGGAAAATTAATAAAGCTGAAAAAATTAAAAAGTACCCATGTTTTTTTAAAAAAAAAATTTCTTAGTATTGAATGGATACATAAGACACAATGAATTTTATAATATTTACCATATGAACATAATGATTCTTAAAACAAAAATGAGTGAGACTATTATAAACAAATATTACAAAAAATACAATGGGAGAGTATCAAAATGTTTACATTTTACATCTAGAAAAAATCATTTTTATTTACATTTACATTGATTCAATTGGAATTTGCTAAGGTTCCCATTGGATCCCAAGCTGGTAAAACCATCGGAGTCTGATTGAATACTTCAAGAATACTAGGTGATAAGTGACTGCGGTCAACGACTACCTCAAATACAAATTCTTTAAACCATTCACCAGACATCATAAGGTACCCCTTTTCTCCACGATCTTCACCCCAGCTATTTTCCACACGGAATTTGGTTCCTATGTTATTTTCCTGAAATTTAGCACAATTATGTGATATGAGTAAAGTTTGATGATGATCAGAATACTTAAAAATGTATTACCAATGAAAATATTAGACATTAGTAGTGAATATATTTTTTAACATGTTATATTCTTAATTGTAATATAAATATTATAATATACCATTTTCAATATCAACCATATGAAACACCTACATCTTAAAAGCATTTTTTTTAACAATTAAATTATATTTAAACAAGAAGAACCTCTGGTTTACTGTTCTGGATTTTGATGAAACTTCACATGGTGATGAATGAGTTTACTGTCGAACTTTTTTTTAAATTTGTTTTTAAGTTTGGATAGATAAATAACACAAAAACATATAATTATTAACTTTTTCATATATTTTGTGTATAAAAATTGTTATATTTGATTTGATTCAATCAATATATATATATACAGTAGGCCCTCGCTTTACACGGCACTCTGGGTGCACGGTTCCCATACTACACGGAGCTAAAAATCCGACATCCCTCCGACTACACGGACTTCTTATTACGCGGTATTTGGTCAGCAGCCCATAAGTTCGTTGTGCAAAAGGGTATTGATGTAAATTTTGTTATCGACTTTTATCTTTTAGACATGCCTGATTGTATAATAGCCGCCTAAGAACACCTTTGAGCTGACTACTGCGTCGCGCCAATTTTTGAATAAGGTGTCAATGTCCTACACGTCATTTCGTCCGTATTTCTCCTACTTCAAGTTGTATTTCTTGGTCTCCATACAACGCGATAAAAATGGTGCGATTTGTACCAACTCTGAGTCTCTCATAACACGATTCCCATACTGCACTATGTAAGGTTCCATAGAACCCACTACGAATTAGCCTGAATTGTATGTTAAATACGAGTTTCTTATAGCACGGTTCCTATACTGCACGGTACGCACTTGCCGCGTAAAGCGAGGGTTTACTGTATATATATATATATATATATATATATATATATATATATATATATACACATATATATACACATATATATAGCATTTTGTCAACTTTTTCAATTTTTACCTGTAGGTATTGTGTCCAACATATGTAATTAAAAATAATAAATATTTAAAATATAGAGTATATGATATAAATGAGACAAAAAGAAGGAAAGGTTTAACATTTCCTAAAAAAAAATCACACAAACATATGTAGAAAAATGAATATTTACACAAAACACAAGCAAAAGATTTATTCACTCTGAAAATGAATGAGAGTTATTAGCCAAGTTCCAATTAACGCTATGGGTCAATCAGGTTATAGTTTGGCATGGCGTGTTTGCCATACTAAACTATGTCTGGTGATGACCCAGGTGACCCTACATTTAAGGTTAAAGTTTCCAGTGAGGTTCTTTAGCTAGTCGAGTACTGTCGGTACATCAGTACCTGTTCATGTATGTGTTTTGTATAGTAAGTGTGTCTATAAAATAAATGCTGATGGGATTCGAACTTAATCATTTTTAACTCTCTTATCTATGAATCCAAATGCAAAAAGAAGAAGCAAGCGCATTAATTAGCACAGCTATCAGGAGATATTGATAGGGAACACTATAGGCGTATGTATTGCGCGCGATCTATTTTTCGCAACTTTAATTTTAATAAGGTGTTTGGTTTGACTATAAATTAACACCATGAGAAGAAATCCAGGAAGAGTAAACCCAAGGTTCCTAAAGATAAATAACTCAAAATATACTATGAGGAGGAACAATTAGATCCATGATGGAAAGAAAATGTCTTTGCCTTGAGAAAACAAAAGGATGCAGAATGGAAATGATGGACGATGTTTGTGAGAAAACAAAATACCGAAGCATAAAAGTGAAAGCGTAAAAAGTACACAAGAATACATGGTACACCAACAAAGATCAAAAAGTAGTGGTCACAGAATCTGCCTTTGGGTAGAATATCAATAATTAATATATTAATAATAAACTTACATCTGCACTACATGCTGTTATAACCATGGCATGGGTCATGCAAGAATCTCCATATAATAATCTGTCAGCTTTACTCATGCCTTCACTGGGATTGACACCAAATACAAGTGAGAAATCAAACCTGAAAAAAGAGATCAGAATTAAAGAGTGCAGTTATTTAAAATAAATTAATAAATGTTAACTTTATTTTGATGAAGATTACTATAGAAATTTTATTTACCAGCAATTGAAACTAACCTTAAAAATCAGAGTTTAAAAATAAATTTGTAAAAACAACTATAGATATCTTAAAACGATTTAATTTGATATTTGAATATTCGGTTTTAAATAGAACTATGTGTATACTTACAAATCTAAACTATGCAAGCCTTTTGCGTAATATCTTTTGGCAACATCACAGCCAAACCAAACTGGTTCACCTGCTTTTATAGACTTAACAACAGCTTCCATTAGTGTTTCTATGGGCTGATTATTATACAAAGTTGCTCTTCCTCCAACCATATTACCTAAAAATTCTACAGTGTAAGCTTTATGAAATGGATTGCCTGGTCGAGGATCATTTGTCAAGCATACCTAAAACCAATCATTTAAAAATATGCATTCAAAATAGAATCTAAAATCCAAAATAAAATATACCCCCAAAGTGAAGCTTCAATATTAATTTCACTACATGATTACATATGCCAAAGTGAAATACTACATTAAAACTATCAATTATTAATATTTGCATTTCACTTGTTAAAACAGAGTAAGTTTTAATTCACAAACCTTGTTATCAAAGTCATAAATCGGTTTAACATGTTTGATATAAAATTCTTGTGGAGTAATTGGGCCGATTGAATGATAAGTTTTGGACTTATCAACATACTCCCAAGTTATCATTTCATCTGGAAGACCTAAATAAATAGACATAATGTTAAAATATGCTTCTTAATAGTAAAGTATTAAATATAATTTGATAACTAACTAACCTAAACAAATGGAAACTATGTTAAAAACAGTTACCATCATCTCTTCAATACGTTGATTCATTTGACATTCTGTAGCTCCAACATCTACCATCTTCCTCAACTCCAAGGCGTACTGTCTCAGCTAAAACATTTATAAGTCTGTGATTTTAATCAAACTTCAAATAGAGACAAAGTTGATAGTCAAACAGATCTAAAATATTTTACTTTTGAAGTATTTTGAAAATTTATTATGAAAAAAAAAATTATACAATATTTATCTGAACTAATGAGATAAATATGATGAGTTGATATCTCATAAACCTCACTAAACAACTAAATATTTATAATTAAACTAGTTATAACTAAATATGCTTAAACAGCTTAGCTTTTTGTTTTGAGTATCATCTCTATCTAGACAAAAATGTATTAATAATAATAGTAATAAACTTACTGTACTTTTCAAGATGCTGTTTAATTTTTGAGATGCTTCACTGCTAAATGATTCAGCAAAGCATTTCTTTGGCATAATTCCATATTTATTAATCAAATTTAGTACCATATCCCACTGACCACCATCATTCGTAGGATTTGAAAGTAAATGGGCCATAAGCCTACCATCAATGGGCTCTTTTCGAAGTGCTGTTTCAGCAATAGTGTGCAAAAAATAATTTGAGCGTTCTATCTTATCCCAAAAAAATAAGTAAGATTGGGAAAACTCAAACTCTTCTAAGTTGAAAGCCTGAAACAATTTGCATATCATTTCTCAATACAAGCTATGGAATAATAGAATTAACATAATTTAATTAGAAATATTTTAATTCTACAATCATTTTTAATTTTTATACTATTGTTTCAGTATTATAATCTATAGAAAATATTATGTGTTTTTATGTGATCTTGGTATGAACTGCTGAATGATATTTAGTGACCAAATGTATAGAATAAATAACTTTTATTATTTATTGCATTTTATTTGCAACTTATCGGCTGCTAATATATCCAGAATATTTTTCAATGTTAAAGCAGATTCTTGAAATATTACCAGCCAATAAATATATAATACAAGCAATTTGTTTCCTACCTTGCAGAAAGGAATTCTTAAAGCATTCATTGCTGCAAAAAGCCAGCATCTTCCCGTCTGTTTTTGATGAGTTACAGGTTTTCCTTCGGCCTCAACCTTAAAAATAAGAACAGTATTTATTGAACATTGGTAAACAATTACTTATTTCGATATATTGCTATGTATTACTAGCAGTAAAACAGACAAAATTGGAAAATTTATATAAAAATGAAAGCGTACAATGAAATTTAATATATGTATTATTAAAAAGAATGTTTACACCCTGACAATTATGTGTCTATTACTAAAACAATTTTCTTTCAGTTCCTTTAGGCAGCATTATTCATCAGTTAATATGAAAAATTTTACTGGTAATTTTTGTTTAAGCAAGTTATCTGCACAAGCCAATAAACTATACATTTAAAACATACCTTATATTTATATACATGCTGAACATTTTGCAAAGAACTACGTTTCATGCAAATCTCAAAGGGATCAAATCGGGAGCAGGCATTTTGAGCCAAAATATTTTTCAAGTCAGAATTAAAAATTTTTCGAAGCTTCCTTATAGTTTCTGCCGCTATAGTACCTAGAAAATGAAGTTTTTACATTTAATAAATCGACATTTGGTAAACACGATAGAAATGAGAAAAAAAAATTAAAATTAGGATAAAAAACTTGTTGGATATTAACTTCAGAAAAATCAAGCAAACAGTTAAGTATGAGCATAAAAAACAAATTATAAACATTACACTACTACTTATAACTTATTCAATATTTACTTAATACAAACCTTGATTCATTTTATGTATTAATTTAAATAATCAAATCCAACTCAATAATTCTGAAACGAGTGAAGCAAAATGAAATATACAAAATGACGAATGTACTAAATCTACGGACCGAGGAATTTAATATGTTTTGCTGAGCTGTATTTTTTACCCATAGATTAGATTGATTATAGCATAGATAGCTAGTAAAAATTAGATCAGATCAGTGCTTTTCAACTTCTTTACTAATGATGAAAAATAAAATGATAAAATAAATAAAACAAATTCAAGCAACTCCATAAATTAAAAAAGTAAATGTTAAATAATATTGATAATCAGCATACAAAAATTATTTATAAAATCATTATTTCTTAAAAATGCTACTACTACTATCGATAGTTAAAAGAAACGTTTTTTAATTTTCTAAACTTTGTCCAAATTACATTAAACGACAATATAATTGTACATTAAATATAGCAATTAATTGTATAGATATTGTACGATTTATTTTTAAGAAAATGTTCGGGAAACTTAGATATATCAAATTTTGCATTAAAACAGTCTTTTAACAAGGTTAAGGTGAGTTGAGTAGAGATGGCGCTATTGCTGCTGGTTAAATATTGTCAAGGCACTTTAATTTATTGTTATATTACATTTGTTTTTATTTGATAAGTTAATATTTGATTTTATTATTATTTAAATGTGTGGCAAAATGATTAGAATAATTTATTCAAACCTGTTCGAAAATTCTGCCGAAGTAAGATGCCTACGTATTCGTCATCATTCCGTCATCTTTGCTCTCATTTGCTGTGCAAACAAATATTGTGAAAGCAGAAATGAAATGAAGTAAGGTGTTCTGGCGCGGTTGTTGTTTATGTTAGTTTTGAACAAATATTAAGCGAAGTGAAATATCACTGTTGATGAATATCAGTCATGTTTTGATATATAGTTAATTAATAATGATTTACTTTGATATCAAGATATTGATATTTAATTAATGACACTTTTATTTTGCGTGCACGTTCTATGTTTCAAAGTTTTATACACATTTTGATTTGCCTTGATTATTGATAAATCATGACGAAAAGAATCGGCGTGCACTTACGTGTGACGGGGCATACTAGTCAAGGGGGCAGGAAATACATGGAAGACTGTTTTAGTGTCGCTTACCAGCACACAGACGATCAGTCAGATCTTGAATATGCGTATTTTGGCATATTTGATGGACATGGAGGCAGCGAAGCTGCCTTTTTTGCGAAAAATCACTTAATGGATTACATAGTATCTCAAAACGGTTTCTGGTCTGAAAATGATGATGATGTACTTGAAGCTATTAGGGAGGGTTTTTTAAAAACGCATAATAAAATGTGGATGATACAAGGTAAAACATTTAATATATCATCATTGATTATGAAAGTATTTTAATTAATAAGTATTAATACAGATGAGTGGCCAAAAACAGCTTCGGGGCTTCCAAGTACAGCGGGTACAACTGCAAGTATAGCGTTTGTACGACATGGAAAAATATACACAGGACATGTTGGAGACTCTGGCATAATTCTAGGCTATCAAGAAGATGGTAAGTATATATTATACACATTCAAGGTTAAGTATGCTGTTTCATTGCATCATAATCAAAAGAAAATAATGCTTCACCTGATTATAAAACTGATGTAAAAAAAATGTTTTTGTTCCGAGGGCAAAAGTTTGTGCAGTACTAGTTGCCTCTGTCATTCTTCTATAAACTTCGAAATATGTACAATTTGTACAATTCTCACTATGAACAATTATTATGGTTGTTTATGACCTTGTTGTTACATAATAGTTTACATCAAACTTCAGAAAATCGTAGGATTATAATAATTATTATTGAAATCAATTAATGAATGCTCATTAGTTGTTGCTTTTTATTTATTTTTATTATCTTTTAAATTACACTAACATTCACAGTCTCTACTATTATAGTCGGTTACATTGTTTTATTTTATAGGTATTACAAAACAAGTATTTATTGCGCAACTGTTTCAATCACCGTATTGATTATGTTCATCAAATAGTTTTTTTTTTTACATCTAATGGTGATATGTGGAATGTAAGTAATGTGATACATGAAGCTAATAATAAAGCATCTGAAGCATGAAGTTAATAAAGATTAATTTTTATAGTTTTACTAATAAAAAGCTCCAAACAGCAATATTTTGATGAATATTGTATTTACATATTGGTATATTTCATTTTCAGAAGAAAAACCTTGGCTTGCCATGGCTTTAACGGAGACCATAAACCAGAAAGCTTAGCAGAAAAAACTCGCATAGAAAACAATGGTGGAAAAGTGGTTATAAAGAGTGGGGTACCAAGAGTTGTTTGGAATAAACCCCGAGTAGGTGAAGGTAAGTTAACTTGCAATTGAAGTATTTTATTTTGTATTAGTTGCTTTACTATAGGATTGTTATTTACATCAGGTCATAAGGGTCCAGTTCGTCGTAATACTCCTGTGGATGAAATACCATTTTTGGCAGTTGCCAGATCTTTAGGTGACTTGTGGAGTTACAATGCTGAGAATAATGTTTTTGTAGTCAGTCCTGAACCAGATGTTGCTGTGAAAAGGATAGATGTGAATAAATTTAGGTATATTATTAAGATAAGAATATATCTTATGTTTATTTACTATTTATTTTCAATAATAAAAACTTATATTTCAGATGCTTACTTTTTGGAACTGATGGATTATGGAATATGCTAACACCACAACAAGCCGTTACTTTAGTACAACAAGCTGAAGCCAATAATAAGTCTCCCCACGGTAAACGTGAATGGATAAATCCATCAAAACGTTTAGTTGAAGAAGCTTTATTAAGGTGGAGTAGTACAAGAATGCGTGCCGATAATACAACAGTTGTATCTCTGATGCTTGATCCACCTGGTATGCCTAAAAAGGCTTCTCCAAACAGAATACTACCAGCATCATCACCAAATTCGACAGTAAAGTTGGAAAAGGATTCAGTGGTATCCAATGAAATTAATGATTGCATACTGAACAGAAATGAAGTCCCAGAAAATGAAACAGAAAATTTAGTAGAAGATGTTAGTGAAGTGGATGAAAATTTGACACCAAAAGTTGAGCAAGTGAGATGTTCTACACCATTTGAAAACATTGATGAACATAACGCTTCAGAAGAATGTAATGAAAACAATGCAGTTCGCACTGAACAAGAAAATATGCCTGCAAATAATAACAGTAGCTTTGTGACATGTATGGATGATGATGAAGAAATGAATGATGATTATAATGCATTCCAAATGAATTTTAACGCAGAACATATAAATAATGTGATATTTGGGGAATTAACAAAAACTTGCATTCTCCCAGAAACGGATGTTGCTGAAGAGCATGATACCAATTCCAGTTCCATCAATAATGAGCAAAATCTGTTAGACAATGATGGCGCTTGCGAAGATACTGAAGATATAAATACTGAAAATATAAATACTGAAAATATAAATGATATATCTTCTGTAGTTACGACAGATGATTTTGAAGAAAATATTGAAGTTTCATCTGAAGATATTAAAAAAGCTGATGCTATTGATAATAATGATGATGAATCTGAATCTATACAAATTCATGAAATTTCCAGTTCTGTATCACAAGAACCAGTAGAAGAAATATCCAACATTATGACAAGAGCTCATAAGTTAAGAAAAAGATCTGCAGAAATTGAATGTCAACATAAAACCAAGAAGAATAAAATTACATCTTCAGCATCTAGAGCTTCACTCAGAAGAAATGGCAAAAAGCAAGGAGATATTAAGGACAAACCTGTTCAGCAGGTGACAACTATAAACAAACATGCCTCAGTAAATGCTTCAGTTAAAAAATTGTTTGGCAAAAAATATTGGTATCCAATTGTATCACTAGAAAGTAGCGATTTAGAAGCCTTGGCTGCAAGTATTCTTTGTGAAGGTAAAAAAAGAACTGGCGCTACTTTACCAGCAAGAAAAAATAAATTAAAAAAAAAATCAAGGGGAAAGTATATGAAGTTTGTAAAATCTAAAGCAAAATCAAACTTGAAGAAAAAATAGCCCCCAGAGTATGTAAAAAGGTAGAAGATAATGCAACTTTGGTACCTTGCATAGTTTTAGAAACATTGTTTAAATTAGGTTTAAGTAAATGTTAGCTATTTAGCCAAAGGTACTGCAGTAACTTGCCTTGAGAGTTATAAACAATAGTCATTCTGGCTAGTGTCAAATTTTAGTATTAGTTTTGTGTTCACACACTATATAAAAATTCGTATTTTAACGAGTTACTGCTAGTGAACTGTAATTTGGATAATTCAGTAACATTATTTTAAGGCAAAGTTATGTTTTATAAAAATTTTAGTATATATAGATATATATATATATATATATGTAATATGTATGTATAAAGTTTATTACTGCATAGTCTAGAAGTGAAGTAATTCTTCATATCATATATAAAGATAAGATTTAAAGATATATTTTTCAGAGTGTAACTATTGTATTTTCTTATTGAAAATGCTGCATACGTTTAGACATGCATGAGTCATTATTGAAGGAAATAGGATGGATAGCTTATTTCATATAATTTTACATGCGTATCAAAAAATTTGAAACAGCACCTCTCAGTGTATGAATTGTGAAAATTATACAAAGTGCCTTTTTTAAAATGGATAAATGCATACAATTGTTCCATTTGTACTAATGTTTTTATTATAAACATATAATAATAAAAATTATTTACCATATTACAATAGTATTTACAGATATTTATAGGGAAGAATCTAAAAAAAAAATTATTAAATGCCAATAGCAAATAAATGTACTCATGAAATGATCAAATTCAATGTAAAAATAAAGAAAATTCAATATATATTTCAATAAATTTAAAATTCAAAATTCAATTTTGTATTGAATCACCCAGGAAATATTCTAATGGCATTTTGAAGATCTAATTTATATATTTATGATAGTTAATTTTCAGGTTAAAATATATAAATAAAATCTCGGAATCAAAGAAAAAATATTTCAAATATTCATGTTTTTGTAAAAAAAAAATTAACTAAATGTGTGAAATCATGGAGATAAACTTTTTTGCGCTCAAATGCTTCTAAATTGATAAAAAAAATTCTCTGAAAGTTTTAGCAAATTTAAGATAGTCCACTCCAACCAAAGTTTCTTAGTTCTTCCTAAGTAAATGCTTATTTTATAATATATGTCAAATTTTCATTGTAATTTTTTTTATTTATGATCAAATTAAGCAAATACAATATTATTTTCAAAATTTTGATTCACTAGTCGCTGAGTTACAAAATTCTAAAAAACAAATGGAATTTTACTCATGTTATTTCCATAAGAAACTTTGGTTGCGGTGTGGACTATCTTAAAGTTAATATTAGGAGATGATCAGGAGCTAGAACTTTCATAGCATTTTTTTTTTATCATTTTGGAAGTATTTGGGCCTGTGGAAGTAAAAAAATAAAAAATATTCATATTAAGGACCATCCTAATATATATATATATATATATATATATATATATATATATATATCTTGATAGTTTTTTCGACGTTGAAACATATTTCAAAAACTAAAAAAGGTAAATAAAGGTATAAAGTATAAAAACTTTTATTTATACGTTTCGACACAAGATGCGTGTCATCATTCAGCAACACAGGACAAAAACACTCAACAAAAATTTATTTTAAAAATTAAACTTAATAACATATTAGAGAAAAAAACATTTTTTAGAAAAAATTATGAATAACTAAAAGATTTGAAAACTAATTTGACTAAAAGTTATGAAATACATCATTGTGAAGCTAGAAGCACGCCCATACCGAGCATCTAGACTCGACTGAACTGTTGTGTCGAAACGTATAAATAAAAGTTTTTATACTTTATACCTTTTTTATTTCGACGAATGGGCTGCTAGTTACTTTGAAATATTATATATATATATATATATATATATATATATATATATATGTATATTAGAGTATGTAAATTTGGTGCTGATATATATTTCAATAAACTATGTTGATTTGGGCAGTAGCTTATTTTTTATTTCCACATTCACACATTTAGTAATATTTTTTTCCGAACTGCAGATCCAGTAATGGCCAAATTATGTTCAAAATATATGGATCGATTTGTGAAAGTTTATTTTGTTTGGTGTGTCATGCTTTCCAAAATTTTATTCATATACATGCTGTTATTCATTTGAATTGATATTATTTAAGAAACAATTCACCATTTTGCAGTCTCTGGCTTGTAACAAAGTAGTATATGAATTTTACTTTTTACTCCTTTGTTAAGGCAGTCACAAAATTGTTATTAGTAATACCAAATAAAAGTTACTATCACTTCCTGAAACTCCTCTAAAGAATAGAATAAATTATATAAATGAAAATTGTTTTTATTGTATATAAATTTTGAACAATTCCAATAAATACAATCCATAGATCCACAAAATGGAAGAAAGAAGAAAGTAAAGAATGGCAAAAGTAAGAACTTTGATAAAAAACAATTAGTTTAAGACTAATTATTATAATTACTTAATATGTGCGAACTTCTTCAAAGTTTTCGTCACGATCGTTGCGTCCGCGATTTCTTCTTCCACCACCATCACGATTTCTATTCTGCCAATTGCTACCTCCACCTTGATTATTACCTTGATTGCGAAAGTTTTGACGGTCGCCTCTGAAATTTCCCTAAAATATCCAACTGCATTAGTTTATGCATTATATTCACAGTAAGCACATTTTTTATTAAGAACTAATTACAAATGTTTTATTTAATTTGATTATAAAATTTATTTAATTATAAAATTTTATTGGGCCACCAAAGATAATTCAAATTAGTAACATGCTTATTTAACCACGAGCTTTGTACATTATTTAACTTCATTGTTAATGTGATCATATAAAACAACATTTGCATTACTAAATCATCTCAATGTCAATCTCAAATCATCTTTACTAAGGTACAAGAGAAAAAAAAATCTAAAATGTTTAAAAATAATAATAATATATATATATATATATATATATATATATATATATATAAAACAGTTCTAAAAAAATGTGTAATGTATAATTCAAATTATTTGAAACTCCATAATATATATTACGGAATATGGAAAATAAAAATGATAAAATGACTCACTTGATTTCCACTTCGGTTGAAAAAGTTTCCTTGTTTCATTTCAAATATACGTTCATTAGCATCAACAAGATTATTAACTTTATCAGTAAGCTGTAAAGCAAGAGCTTGTAATCTGGAAGGTTCACTATGATGCATTACAACAGTCTTGGTCGGATCATCAAGAGATGCCTATAAATATAGAGAAAGCAGATAAGAACATTTCATATATTGTTGTCTAGAAATACATAATTCAAGAAATGTTTACCATGAGTTCTTCATTAATTATCATTTTACTAATGATGGAATGAGCCTGAGATTGATCAAGTTCAAACATAGTAGCCATCGCAGGAATACTGATTGAGTCATATACATGACTATATGTAAACAAGTAAGTGCGTAAAGCTTCTTCTCTAATCAAACGTGTCAGCATATTACGTACTCGGTCAGCCTCATAAAATAGATCCCAGACCTATGATAAAAAAAATTTATATTCAATTAATGATATATTTTCTAATTTAAATTCATGTAAGAATAGGTCAAGATTCAGAATCATAATCTATGGTCATTTTTAGAATAACTTTATACAAATATAATCTATCATTCATTTTCATTACTTATTATTAGTGTTTTTAAAAATACTTCACTACAAGACTGCATAAATGCATTTAAATAGTGTAAGAATATTCAATTCAATTCATACATAATATGTCAAGTTATGTTGAGAAAGTATTACCTTGGTATTCATTTTTTCATTTACAATGTAAGTATTACATGCTTTCCAGTTGCCATTGCGCATTGCTTTAGCTGCAGCCACAACATGTTCCCTCATGGATTCAGGAGGACCAACCAATGATTGACGTTCTGAAGATCTCAACTGCTGGTAAAATGTTTTGCTGAAATTGTTTTGGATATTGATTTGTAATGAATATATTTCTATAGGCTATAAAAACATATCCCCATCAAATGTCAAATTTTAATCCAAATTCAAATAAGTTTAATATTATGATATTGAGAAACTATTTAATAGAATACCTAATTTGTACAATTATACATAAATAGTGGCTAGTTTTTTTATGCAAGGCTAAATATTATGTTTACACCATTTGATATATTTATGGACTTGCATATGTGATGTACTGTTCACTTTTATAAAATTACCTGATCATTCTTCTCCTTGCATCAAACTCATGAGCAGCCATGTATGGAATTTCAATAAGCATTGCAGAAACTAAATACACGCATTCTAATAATTCCAAATTTATATGCATATGAAATGGCATTTGACGTTGCTTTTCAACTTTCTCCTGTTCTTTGCTCCTTTCATGTTGACGCTATTTGAAAACAATGAATTTATTAAAATACAGTTATAACATTAATTATATCAGTTATAATATTCATAATAGAACAATTTTAAGTTTTATTGTTCAGCATAAATTTCAAAATGTATATAACTACCTGAGGAAGCAAGCCTTGAGCTAACAATTCTTTTGGCTTTCCAGTCATCATAAGATCTACCAAACAATTATGAGCATCCTTTATATTTCCATGGCGGAAAGCGCACAAACCTAAATTTGCCATTGTCCTATTATATAAAATCTGAAAAATTAAGACATAGAATATAATAAATTTATAAATAAACAGAGAAAGTGACAGCTTTATGAAACTTTACCTGTGTTGGGGGATCAGAAAAATGAATTGTTTCTTGCAAATGCGACATAAGAACTAAATCACGAGCTTTAAACCAATTATCATGCAATGCATGATGATAGATATGAGACAAAATTGCTCGAGTTCTTAATCTATCAGTTGCATCTTTTGCATAAATGTATTTGCAAAGTTTTTCCATCTCTTGCACACTTGTCGTGACATCAGCTGGTATTTCTCCCTACAATCATTTTTTTTTGTTATATGGTAAAACAAAGCACTGTAAATAGTAATGAATTTTACCTGCTTCTGCTTTAGAACATTAGCATCAAATTTGTAATAAAGATGATCAATCTTTCTCACATAAATTCGACAGAGTTCAGGTGGACAATTTTGTTTCTCCACATATAAACGAACTTGATCAATTATTGCAGCCACTTTAATTTCATCCTTCAATCTGAAGAAAATATTTATTGAATGATTTACTCAAAATTTTAGATAATACATGTATTAAAATTTTTTCAAAAACTATTTATGATTACTACTTATGAAAATACATTTCTGAACAAATTTTAACCACTTAATACTTATGGCCGTGCTCAGTTCGTTCGCGCAAAACTCAAGTTCGCGCAAACAAACTCAGTTTGCAGGAATTTTTAAATTTATCTATTTAGGTGATCGGTGATCAAATATAATTATACATCAACCCTTTTTTGGGTCAGAGACTATTTCTTCATTTGTTATTATAAATTAAACCATGCTATTTTTTTTTTAAATTAAATTAAAATTTAAATTTTTTATCTCATAGTAACAACATTCTAAAACATTGTAATAATAAAACAATATGATGATTTTTTTCAGGTAAATTTTTAAAAAAATATGATCATTAAGTGGTTAAGCTGTGATCCAACATTTCGGCTCAAACATTAGTTGACTTAAGGAAATACACATGACCATTTCAATTAATAAATAAAATTTATATTTTTTTTTCTTTGAAAACAAAAAGTACATCAACACTATGATAATTTATAAAGACAATCTAAAATAATTTTGTTTATTATGACTATTTAAAATTTTATGTACCTTTCTACATAATCATTGCTATGAGGGTCACATTCTTTAAGAAGTTTAACAAACTCATCATCAAGGCGTTCAACAGCAGTTAAAACACAACCTCGTAATTTATTTGGTGTGGACTCATATTCTTCACCATCTTCAGTGATGGTTTCGCTAATAATTATTTCAGGATTGGCTAAAAGTAATACCAGCATATCTTGCATACACTCCAATAACCTGAAAAGCACGACTTTATAAACTTTTTGTTTTTCAAATTATTCACATATCAAATTCAACTTCAAACTTACTTGCTCCAGTGTTCTGGTTTCATGGCATCAGATACCTTAGGATTGTAATCAAAAATTGCAGATACAATCGAAAATCTAATTTTGATAGCGACAGCAGGTCCAAGCTTATGCTGCTCTGAAACCGTTTTCAGTTCATGCAACAATTCTATTTGTTGTCTACGATCAGTTCTCTTTTTGCCTCTTGCAGCCATAATTTCAGATAATTTTTTAATAACCAGAGAAGTATCAATTTCTGCATCTTTGGCAAACATTTTAGGCTTTTCCTGTGAAAAAATTCAAATTGCATAAAAAATTACAAAATAGTAATCAAGGTCACATCATGCACACATGTATCTTTACAAAATTTGTCTGAAAGACATTTAAAGACACAGAAGTAGTTCACAATGAATTGAAAATAATAGTAAAAAATCTGATTGAATAACATTTTCTTCAGAAAGATTAGATTACAATTAAGATATTAAAAAAAAAAATCAAATATGTTAACAGATTGAAAACAATATTGAAACTCATATTTCTCATGCAAGAACCAGATTGAAACTCATCACAATTGTTTGATTTTAAAAACTAAAATGTTTGTTTTAAAGTAAGGCTATGTCAAATTACAGCGTTTTTAAGATATGCAGTAAGTATAGCATAAACACTTACACTAGGCGTCGCCACACCTTTCTTCACAGTTTCCCACTCGCCCTCACCATCTTCTTCTTCTTCCTTTTTACGTCTTCTACCCTCCTTGCCTTCTTTCTTTTCTTTTCTCTTCACTGCTTCATCACCTTCTTCCTTGTCAGTAGTTCTGCAATAGATTTTAATAGAAAAAAAAACAACTAATGATTTGCTTTCAATAAGTGTTATGATATATGAAAGTAGTTAAATAAAGGTGGATTCACAATTTATATTGTTAAAAAAAAAACTATTGAGAAGGAGTTTATAATAATATTTTACATAAAAAATGTGTAACATTAAAATTATAAAATAAATAGTGCTGCAATATTATTCAATGAAAACTTCAAAGTTTCATTTAAAAAAATAAAATAAGATTTTATAATTACTTTTTTAAGAAACGCTCTCGAATGCTGGTATATTGAGTATCTTCTTCACTACTACCACTCTCACTTTCGCTATCGCTTCCCCAATCCATAGAATCATCACTATCATCGTCATCACCGGCTGCTTTTGAAGCTTTTACCTTTTCAACAGGAGTAGGTTCTTTCTTGAATGATACTGATTTAGTCACTGGAGTCTCTTCATCAGAAGATTCTTCATCTTCAGGAGCTGTTTATTCACAAAAAAAATAATAACATATAGGAAACATATGAATTTTAACACACATAGCTTATGAATATTAATTAATATATAATACAAAATAATTATATCCTTTCTCTTCAGTAAGAGCATATAAATCTTAAATAAAGATTAAATTCTTAATTGATGTATTATTTAACTTGCTGAAAATTGAATTTGGATCCAAATTGTTAATAATTAAGTGATAAAACAACTATAAATTGAATATATTTACATATTTGAGTTAGTCACTTGCTTGTGCTTATTTTGATAATGTAATTAAAAAAAGCAATTATTACTGTTATTTACAAAAAATATCTCACGTTTAACTTCCTCTTCGTCGTCGCCTTGATCTGGTGATTCTCTGAATTTTGTCAAATCTTCCTCAAAATCCTTATTAAATTTGCGTAATTTTTGCCTCAATGATGTTAAAGACTTGCTGTTATTTTTAGACATATTTTTACTGAAAAATGATAAAGATATATAATAAATAAATTAACTAAATTATTAAATTAATCTATTAAATTAGGTGTATGTAAAATGTCATGCATTTGATAAACTAACCAATATTTCATAAAAATCTATCATACAGTATGCCATTCATTATATAAAATCAATAATAAATTTCATAAACAAATTTTTTTTATACTTTATTTATGTATAAAACTGTAATATTTTATATATCCATGTAAAAACTACGCAGGTAATTATTTAAGAACTTTAACAAAAGAATGTATTTTTTAATTTTATGATTCTTTATTATAAGAATAGTTTACTTTTGTTATTTTGTAAATATGTAATGAGTTCAATATTAATGACAAGTATTTTATAATTACCGGCCCTCTCTGTCCTCCCATACTTCATTTATAAAATCCTCCATTTCCACCAAACATCTTACAAAAAATCTAGGTGTGTGACCATTCTCTTCTTTGTTGATTACTGGCAATGCTTTGGCATAATTTTTAACCAACTCTTCAAAACCTAAATTATACCAGTCGCTTATTGAAAGTTTAATCCGATATAAAGTTTTTACGTTAGCTTTTTGAGTTATGACAAATTTTCATTAGAAACCATAACTAATTATAATTTAAATCAAATCAGCAAAATAAATAAAATTAAATTAAAACAAACTAAATAAACAAGCAAAATATAATTAATATTGAAACAAAGTATAAAAATTTGGTCAATAGACAAAGCTGAATGCATTTTAATTACAGTAAAACCTCCTTATTTGCGGGGGATACGTTCCGTAAAAATTCTGTGAGTAAATAATCTGCAAATGACAGGATGACATTTTATATGGAATCATAAGAATACGTTCCAAGGTGACTAAATAATCCGCAAATAATGAATAAATCAGCAAATACAGGATGGTATTTTATATGGAATTGTAGGGAATATGTTCCAAGGTGACACAATAAAGAAAAATAAATATTGTATACAACTATTATTTAATATGCAATATTTTAAGTATAAGAGATCCCATATTAAAATTAGTAATAAGTTTAGTATCGAATCTAACATTAATAAAAAACTTTATATTAATTACAATAATATATTAAAACAAAAGTCAATTTATAAAAATTTTATATTATTGTTAGATGTGGTACTAAACTTATTACCAACTAATTTTAATGAGATCTGTTATACTTAAGATATTGCATATCACATAATAGTTCTCAGCAATATATTTGCTTCTTTAATTCAAACCGATACTCTGTCACATCAGTAATTCGCCTCTTAAAAATAACACTTTCCATATATGGATCAATGCTCATATAGAAATCGCACAGTTCATTTGTAATTCTTCACTAAGATTTTTCAAATTAAATGTCACGTTTCTATGCTTGTAGAAGCAATTGAAGTGAACTGCTCTTGTTCAATGGGCTGAGAATATGGATTTCATGTCGATTGAAGTCAAATTTTACTAAAAATCTATTTTATTCATTGAGTAATAAATAAGGTTGTTTTATTTTATTAGAATACATTCTCAAAAACACTGATAGCGGTGAAGACAACCAAGGCTACGGAGGCACCTTATGTCAAAGATTTCTTTATTAGTTCAAAATCGCGACATTTACAAATTTTTTTCTGTTCGATACATATTGAAATCCGCGAATAACAAAATTTTTAGCCGCGAGTATAGAAAGTAGGTCACAATTTTTTTGAACGTGAATAGCAAAAAGGCAAATGAAGGAAGCGCGAATAAGAAACTTCTACTGTATAAAAATTTGGTCAATAGACAAAACTGAAAGCATTTTAATTATTTCAAAATCTATATTATGGTTGAAATAAAATATATATATATATATATATATATATATATAAGTTAAAATAAAAAAGTATAACCATAAAGATATGAAATAAATTTTTAGGTGAACAGAAATAGAAATTGCCTTACTGGTCAACATGCTGGCCATATCTTTAATTTTTTTATAGTTCCTAATATTTTTTATGGTATTGGAAAGTTCTTCGTATCTCTTCTCCTTTGTTGAGCGTACAACACGTTTAGTTTCTTCTTCATCATCGCTGTACTATAATAACATCATTATTTATTATATATAAAAACATATAAAAAATAACATCATACATACAGTGAAAGCTGCGGTTGGTTGACGTGGTAATTGCTCTTCCTCGCTGGAGCTATCACTCTCAGAGTCTGAACCGCCAGTTGCAAAAAATCTACTCATTTTGGCTAAAAAATTACGATATAATTGTAAAACTAGAACTTCAAAATAAGTTAAATTAATTTTTTAAGTGAGTATAAACATTAATTAAATATTGATGTAACACAAAATATAATTAAATATATTATTATCTCAATATTTCATAATTTACATCATATAATGCACAGGCCCAAAATTGCTTTTGAGGTTATATGTTTAGTTCTTTATCATGCATCCTGATGTACCATGCAATTATTCTACACTAAATCTTATGTTCTATTACTTTTTGCTAGTTTAGTAGGAAGCACTTACATTAAAGACAAAACTATATATATATATATATATAAATATTTAAATGAAAAGTCAAAAGCACGCGATTAAAACCTTATGTCGCGATTTGACTACTAGGAGAGCCAGATGAGATAAAATTTTCTCCCACGTTTCTAATTTTTGGAATCTTGCCAGATACAAATAAATGTAAACCGTTGAAAGTTTCAAATTTAATTTTACGGAAGAGACTAACTTAACATTATACTAATTCAAATTAACAATATGATTGAGCTAATATTAATTACTCTTTCTAGTTTATTTTATTTATACTCTACCATTCCATAAATTTCAAAGCATCTCGGTTTGTACGCATGATCAAATAATCAATAATCTGCTACATATTTGTATATGTCACATGGGCGAGTATATATACATATATATATATATATATATATATATATATATATATATATATATATATGTGTGTGTATGTATCTATGTATGTATATATGATGAATGTATGTATAAATGAATGTATATACACTGCAAAGCTCTCTAAAGCTCTTCATTTTGAAAAAAGCGCACATGTTGTGATTGGAACAGAAAAAGGTTTTGAGGCAATATTCAATTCATAAATACAATACAAATCAGTTGATGATGGCAGAAGGAACTTACGATTACGAGTGCATGAGGGCCGAATTATTGGGCTTAGAAAAACCAGATCTTGAAACTTTCGAAAAAGAGAAACAACAACAGAAAGTTACCGAAGATGAGCACTTAAATGCTGAACTACAGGTATTTTAAGTGAAATGTTTTATTAAAAAAGCGATAGATTGATAAAAAAACAATTTTGTTTAAGGAAGTGAATGATACTGACGCTGGTCTGAAGGAAGTATCAGGAGGATTAGATGAATTAAACAGTATATTGTCAATAACGCAACAAAAAATAACCAAATTTAAGGTAACATAATTATAAAATATATTACAACTAGTGGGGTGCATGGCATCGTGCCTTAAGGCAAATTGCTGGATATTGCTGGTACCGAATATCTGATAATTTGATGTACATATGCCCAATAAACATTTTTGACCGCCAAATGACACTTTTTTAACTAATTTTCATTCCATAACCGCTGGACCTGCCTTCCCAAAAATTTATTCAGTTCTCCATCTTGTCAAAACAAATAAATTTTTTAAAATTTTTAAAATCGGACGCTTCGTTTTCTTAAAAACTGTGTTACCGTTTTTGGCACTTTTTGCCCCGTATTTTTGGAACGGTTAAACCTGCCTCCGCCAAAAATTAATCAGCACATCTCTTTATCAGTACGAACCGAATGTTTTTTGAACTATTTAAATCGGTTGATCGGTGTTCCCGAAATCGTCGAAGAAAATTTGTATCCGCACACACACACACACATACATCCATTTTTTCTGAGGTATGCCAAAATATTCAGAAACCTTTGAAACGTAAAGATATATAAAAATTTTAATTTTCAATTTTTTTGCGATTATTATAACTTACCCTACGGAAAGTTAAAAATCATTAAAATTCATATAAAATGTCGAACTTTTAATATTATATGAAATCGAACACTTAAAACAAAGAATGTTTTATTATCACCTAATTACTAAAAATTAAATATAATGAAGAAGAGAAAGATATAAAACATAATTCTTACGGGCTAATTTTTAGAATAGATATTACATGGTTGCATAAAATTGTTATATTTAAATAAAAATTTAAATTTTAATAAAAAAATATTTTTCACAGACAGTGTGTGGTAGTCTAACAAACTTATTGAAAATAAAAGTTGGTGGAAATAGTAGTTCATCAAATAGTTTATCAGAAAATGCAGATGCTGATATATCAAAGAAAGATTTATATGTAAATGCAGATGTTGATGATCTTGACATGAAGTCAAGACCTAGTGACGACTCTAAGCCAATTCCAGCAAAAAAATTAACATTAGAAGAGCAGATGGTTTCGCAAATGGATAAACTTGATTCACTTATCTGCAAGGCAGATAATGCTCAATACTCAATGAGTGAACAAAATAAGCAAATGAAAAAGTTTTTGAAATAACAATCTGTGATTATTCTTTTTAGTTTTAGATGTTAATATAATGTAAATTATATAAAACAGATTTTTATAACATTTTAACTATTAAATAATCAATATAAATATTCTCTTATATTTATTATATAAATTATAAATCTCTTATAATATTACTGGTCATGTAATATTTAAAGATTTATATGAGCTGCTTAGCTCAGCTTGTTACGGTTGTTCAATTTTCTAAAGCAGTTATTGTCACATTGAAAAGTTTAGGATTATACATATTAAAAATAATAATATGTAGTGTCCAAAAAATATAAAATATTATAAATATATAAACTATCTATTTATGCTTTAATGTGCGCTTCCATTCTTAAAGTAGTGTGTCAATATTGTTATATAAATCAATATAATATTGTAATTGATGTTGAAATATACTAATTGAAATATATTTAATTTGCATTCCTTTTAATTTCCCAACATTTAGTTGGAAAAGTATTTTTTATAATGTAGCATAATATTGTAGCTTTATAAGATGAAACTAATACATTACATATTTACATGATTACTGCATTACATATCCAATATTTATTTTTAGTAACGTAATTCTATTTTATATATCAATTTTATCACATTAAGTGAAAAAAAAATTAGAATAAAGTTTTTACTATGTCAAGATAAACAATTATTAAGAAATTACATAAAATATAACTATGAAGACAGACAATTTACAATCATATATCTTGGCATAATGACCGATTATATATATATATATATATATATATATATATATATATATATATATATATATATATACAACATCTGAGAGAATTAAGTAAAACAAAATGTTATGTATTTATTTTCAGTATATTTATAAAAATATTTCATCTACAAATGCTATAGCATACAAAATATTTTATAAATATCTATTTTATTCAAGACATGTCTAACAAACAACGTATCAATCAATGATCTAAGTTATATATATCTTGATAATATATGTAAAAAATATATACATATATCAACTATTTCATGGTTGAAACATATTAGATATAATATAACATGATAATTTTATTAAACATATTTCAACAATTAAAACAACTTTTATTGTGTTTTGGTGTTTCAAAAAAATGAAAATGTTTAAATAATTTTTCAATTCGACGAACTAGCTGCAAGGTTATCATATATATATAAATTTATAATATTAGGTTGGGAAAAAAGAAATCCATTATTTTTGTATGGACTTCAGGACTTTATTTAACATGCTTCAGATCAGAATTTAGCCTTTGGGCACAAGGAAGCAATTCATTATAAATAATCCCCTTCCTTTTTCTGGCCGTTAGTCAATGGCCACCGTTCGAGGTGCTTCACTGCTCTTTGACTGCGATCGTTTGCACAGGGTTATCATATGTGATCCATTTCTCATCTACAGTCACCATAATTTAACAAATGGGTCTATTTCATTCCGTTTGGCAAAGGCTTTGCAGATGGAAATTCCATCCATCATGTTCTACAACTCACAACTGAATAAACCAAACAAAAAACAGCAAAAGAATTTTATTTACTGCGAAAATGACATACTTTACCAACGAGCATAAATCTAATATTGTTTCATTGATACTATACGAGAAATCTATCAGTAGAACTATGAATTGAAAAAATAAGGAATTTCTTTTCCCTAACCTAATACTATGCCAAAGAAACTACTACATGCATATACAGTAGAATCCGATTAGTATGACGCCGGATATATTGACAACCGCTTAATATGACGTAATTGCACTAGGAATTTGGTTTCCATATAAAAATCCTTAAAAAAAAGCTGTCTAGTCGGATATATTGACCTCGCTTACATTGACATGTCGCTTATAATGACCTATTTTTGCAAAAAAATATGTCCAATTATAATGACCGACATGATTTTACATGATGTGGCCAAGTCTATGAAAGCAATTGCCATGTCTTTTGTGCACAGTAGCACCAGGAGCTGTTTTTACAATAAAATTATGCAAAGAAATCAATCAAAAATTACTGATTATTTACATTAAAAAACACATTTGTATGTTTATGGATAGGATAGACCAATTATTAATGGTCCACCACGGATATCTCGTAAACAAATAAAATTAGATTTTTTTTAACAATTATATTTGATAGTAAGGGCGAAAAATGTATAAATTCATAACCAGCCATCACCTTTATTCTTATGACTTTGCTATCAGAAGATAAGCAGCACATGAATGGGATAAAAAGGACCAGCTGAACCTTTACTTTGGCAAAGGTGTAAGCAATAAAACAGTAAAGTTTTTTAAAAAAAAAAGCAATTTTACAAGAGATTAATTGAATAAATCGTTATTCCGGCTCTTCTGATGAATATTTCTGACCAATAGCAGATCAATGTAATATACTGTGTTGTCTTTGTAACAAATGTACCCACAGAATTAATATTTTGCATTGGTTCAAATAATGTAGAATAAAATGTCTTTAAAATTTAATAAAAAAAAATTGCATCTGTTCGCCCTCTGATTGTTCCACTTTACCCTGTATGTGAAGTAAAATGAGCCAGACACCAAATGTTTAAAAAATAGTAAAAAAAAAATAATATTTATATAATTAGGAATTATGTACGTATGTATGTATGTAACTTTTTCTGAACATAGTTCGATAGATGTTTCTTTGATGTATGTTATGTGTTGTTCATTGGGTTTAGACAGTATAATTACCGTAAGTCAAATTGGACCGTTGTGCCCCCGTCCTACTCTATGTCAATTTTATTTTATATTAAATTTTAATCAGTCATTTTTATTTTTAATTAAAACGTTTGTATATGCTTTTCTTTTAAATTACTGAAACATGTAACATATTTGCATATTAAAAAGTTTTTCTTCAGTACGCTTTTAATGACGACCGGTTAGTATGACGAGATTTCGGCGTCCCTTCGATGTCATACTAAGCGGATTCTACTGTATTCATAAAAAGTAATAAATTCACCATAGTAAATAATTAATTTATTGTATATATTGCATTATGTTTAAAAAAAAATCACAATTTTTCACAAATCAGTTCTGCACAATTCAACTCTAGTAAAACTAAGCAAACCACTTGAAACAAAACATTTTAGCGAACGACAAAAGATGGACAAAAGTAAACAAGCCAAACAACGAAGCATGTCAAAATGTTGCCAACGAAAATAGAACCGTAGTTCATTCGAAGAATAATTGAACCAACGTAACTCGACACTAACGCACTCGACAGTCGTCATCGGGAACTAACACCAAAGAAAACATTTGTTTTAAGACTAGCATCTAGCATCCATACACGAAGAAGCCGTCGCCTAAAATGGCTGGCAAAGGTGAGCTAAAGCAAAATGCTTGAGTCGAAGTTGACAAGAAATTTTAACAACAATTTACTTTTTCAGTTGGGACAGAAACAGAAGAACAGAATCGCATGCGTTTTCAAGTTGAATTGGAATTTATTCAATGCTTAGCAAACCCGAATTATATACACTGTATGTTTGTGATATTTTGAAATAATTGTTAATGTGTGAAATCAAGTTGATATCTTTTAGTTTTAGCTCAGAGAGGTTATTTCAAAGAGCCGACATTTGTAAACTATTTGAAATATTTGTTATATTGGAAGGAACCTGAATATGCCAGATATTTGAAATATCCAATGTGTCTTTATTTTCTTGATCTCTTGCAATATGAACACTTTCGAAGAGAAGTAGCTAATGCCGCATGTTGTAAATTTATTGATGATCAAGCTATACTATTATGGCTTCATTATACCAGACGGAGAACAAAGTTATCAGCACTGCCGAATGGTGTTCCCCAAATAGGTCACTCAGATCAGAATGGTCAAACAACTTCCGTCAATCCCACAACCAATGGTGTGAGCAATGGACAGAAAGCACCATAAATTGTATTACGAATATCAGAAATAATCATTTTTATGAAATCATTTTATATATTAAAAATAAATATAATGTACAGACTGTGATTTGTTGTTATATTTATGTTCATAACAAAGTATATTTCAAACTCCTACATCTCGTTAAGTCCTATTTCTTCATTGAATTCTTCTTCTGTGATTTTTTTGTTTTTCAGTTTTTTGCATAAAGCAACGTCTTTAGCAAGTTCAGCCATATCTTCTTCAGTAAATTCAGTTGCACTGCGTTTATTACTTTCTTTGCCATTTAATTCAAATCGCTTTGCCAATTGTTTCTTCTTTTCTTGACGTAGTTTTTTATTTCGTTTTCTGTCTTCTTTTTTAAGTTTTGTTAGCTCCCAAGGTTCAGTTTTCTTAAGTCTTTTATTTGCTTGGTTTTTACTGGGCCATGTCCCGGTATTAGTATAAATATTTAACTTTCGTAATCTAGAAGCTTCTTTCTGCTTATCTTTATATGCAATTTTATTGTAATCCACATTTTTTAAAGTACAAAATTCTGCTTTGTGTTCTTCTTTTATTTCAGGCATTTTTGGTAGTTTTAATAAGCCATAACTCATCGCAACTTTCCCCAATTCCAAATCTTTAACTCTAAGTAAAAGACTGCATTCATGTTTACTATAAGCTCTTATATGAGACACAAAAGCCTTTTGTCCTTTATCCATGATATCCCTATCTTGCATCTGCAGCTTTCGAATAGCTTGTACGACTTTATCATAATTATCTACTTTAATATCACTAGCATATTCTGTCAGAATAACTTTTTGATTTCTTTTAATGAATTCTATATAAGCATCTTCGTTTGGTAGCAGCATAACTAAAGCATTTCCTTCATTGCCTTGCCTAGCCGTGCGACCAACACGATGAACAAAGGCACTAGCGTTAGATGGTGGATCCCATTGGAATACCCAATCCACCTCCGGCACATCAATGCCTCTAGCAAGTACATCTGTGCAGAGCAGCATTGCCTTGCTTGCACTGCGAAATAGTTTCAAAACTTTATTTCTTTTTTCTTTCATTTTTCCATGAAGTGCCATAACTGGCATTTTATCTAAAATTCTTTTCAGAACTGCATTCCAATAATCAACACATGCACAAGTTGGTAAAAAAAGCATACACTTCTGAACATCATTGTGTTTAATAAAATTAATTAATTTGATTAACTTATATTCCGGTTCCACGAGTAAAAAATAATTTTGCAGCATTAATGGCGTGCTAACGCTTTTCTTTTCAGTTACAGAAACTATCACAGGATTGCGCATTCCAGCACGAATTAAGTCTGATATTTCTTTTGTTTGTGTTGCAGAAAATAGTGCAGTACGTCTTTGCCTTGGTAAATAGCTTAAAATAACATTTAAACAGTTTGCAAAACCTAAATCTAGCAGACGATCAGCTTCATCTAAGACTAACAATTCCTAAAAATGAGTAAGAAAGTAAATATGTCAACAAAATTAATCTAAGTAATAAAATAACATAACACCTACAAGATTTTTAATCATTCCTGGTAAATTCAAAATAGATTTTCTTGTTAAAAGATCTTCTAATCGCCCAGGAGTGCAAATTAATATCAATCCACCATTTTTTCTTAATAATTCAATATCTTCTTCAACACTGCAAGTAAAATATAACAATAAATAATTGTTTTGTAGATATTTCATATGCATTGCAAATTCGTTGTTATTAATGAAAAAAATAAATAATATAAAAAATTGATAGTTCAAAATTGAGCTACTCAAAATAAATAATAATTATAAATTCTGTAAATCTTGTAGAATTAAAATATGGTATATATATTTGCATTGAAATTTCATTGATTTGAGAATATATAATTTCATGCAGAGAATTATTTAGTACACAAATATTCCATAGTTATAATCAAGTATAAAATATTAAATGTTAAATTTAATATCTACCTGTTGCCCCCAACAAGTAGTCTCTGCGTGAATTTATTCAAATTTTCATGTTTTAAAAAATGCTCGAGAACATTAGAGGTTTGTTCAGCCAATTCTCTTGTCGGTGATATAATTATGGCAGCAACTTCATTTTTCTTCCACATACAATTTGATTCTCTTCGAAGAATTAATTCCAAAAGAGGTATTAAAAATGCTAAAGTTTTGCCAGACCCAGTTACAGCTTCTGCAGCCACATCTTTATTTCCCATCAACAAAGGAATGCATGCCGCCTCGAAAATAATATATAATTTAATAACTTAAAATAATATACATTTTTATATTTTATTTAAAAAAAACTTACTTGCACAGGTGTCATTTTTGTGAATTTTAATTCCTCTATACATTCTAGAATGGATTTATTTAGTGGCTTTTCTAAATCAGTCCAACGATTCATTTTTTGACTTATTTGTGTAAGGTATAAAGTATATATAATATAATATTTATATGAGTTAGTTCATGAGCACATTTACTTTATTGTTGATGATAAATTTGAACTATATTTGCACGTGGTGTAGTAAACATGTTTGACATAATGACATATCATATAACCACATAACCTATATTTTATAAGACATAACCAAAATCAGTCTTTTCAAATATATCCAAATACTCTAGTGGGAATTTATTTGTTGGACTTATATTTAATTTGAAATGGTAGTACTAAAAGGTTGGAAATATGTGGCTTTTGTGAGCGGAATTGTCGGTTTCACGGGTTGTGCGATATACCCCATAATAATTCATCCCATGCTATATCCAAATTATTGGAAGGAACAACAGAAGAAAAATAGATCTGGCATTATTCAGGAGAACATTCAACCAGGAGACATGAAAGTTTGGACCGATCCGTTTGATAGAAAAAAGTCCACTTAGTATTAAGTACTTTACCGCATTGTCTCTTCGAAAAAGTTTGTTAATTATGTAATAGATATAGTTTTTAATCTATATACATGTGTTTTCTTCTTTAATTTTATTTATTTATCATTTTGTTAATTTTATGTTATCAATGAAACTATATGTAAACTTTTTATTTGTTTACACCACATAAAATGTTTCTAGAAACGTATTTGAAATAAGATTTTGATATGTGGGTCCATGAGAAGTATTAACCACTACATATAACTATTCAGAAGTTTTAGTCCAATATTTTCAACTTCCCGCAGGGTATGTTATAGTAATCGCAAAAAATGGAAAATGTAAATTTTTATATATCTTTATGTTTCAGAGATTTCTGAATATTGAATAATTCAAAAAACATTCGATTCGTATTGATGGGCTGGTCTAGCCGTTCCGAAGATACGGGACAAAAAGTACCAAAAACGGTAACTCAGTTTTTAAGAGAACGGAGCGTCCGATTTTAATCATTCAAAAAACATTTTACCTGTATTGACAAGATAAATAACTGATTAAATTTTTGGGAAGACAGGTCTAGCGGTTATGGACTCTCAATAAAAATAAGTTAAAAAAGTGCTATTTGGCGGTTCAAAAATGTTCATTGGATTTTTATAGAGATTTTAATAATATGTACACATTTTTTGGGTTCCGTATCATGTTTTTAATTACGGCACGGAAAGTTCCAGCAATTTGACTTAAACACGATGCCATGCACTCCACTAGTTTATTTTATTTAAGTTGTTTTGCTGCCTCCAATGCTTTGATCTATTAAGCATAGACATTACCGTCTAATTACAGTGGTTTCCAACCTTTTTTGCACGGTGCCCCCTTGCTCTAATCATAAAATTTGTTTCGCTCTCCTTAATTTTTTCAACAATTCCATTTTATAAATACTCAACTGATATCAGACTACAAATTAATATGCAATACTGTGTAAAAATATGCATAAAAACTTTTTTTTAAATTTTATTTCAAAAATTTTGGGTTATTTTCGAAAATAAAAACAGATGTGCGCGCCCCACAGGTTGGAAACCGCTGTTATAATACAATCTAATGTAATCACATATATGAATTCTGCTTCCCCATGTTTTATTAGAGATGAGAAAATTTTTACAGTTTTATAATTGTTTTTATTATATTATAAATTAATTTTTACAACTACATTATTTGGCAATATTGTGTTATGGTATTTCCATAAAAAAATAAATGAACTTTCAATATTCTATTCAACTATTTCAAAAAGTTATACTTTTACTCTAACAATTTAAACTTATAATTAGATTAGAACTTCATTTTTATTTTAAGAAAATAACTTAAGTAAAATATGCATTTTATTTTTGAACTTATTCTAATAGATGATTCGCTTCATAAATTTCTTGTTTGATTTCCTCGAAGGAAGGCTGGGAATCCTGCATAAACAAGGAATAGTAAAGTTATATATTATATCTATATTGTATATATAAAATTCTCATGCCATGATGTTAGTAACAATACTCATTCGAAACGGCTTGGCCGATCTTTATGATATTTTATAATCATGTTCAATGTGACTGAGAATAGTACAAGATTTATTTTTCAGCCTTAGTTTATTTTTTTGGGCTATTTTTTTATTTCATTTCTTTATAATTAGTAAATAAAGATGGTATGCAGCCCTTTTCTTTTCAAATTTTCTCCTTTAGTTGTCGGAAAAATTTTCATCCCGCGTGCAGTCAATAAATGTTTCTGTCTTAATTTTAGTTGTTTTTTTGAGTTTATCAACAAGCTTGACAATTAAACTATAACAAAAAAACAATTTTTATAAAAGGTTGTACAACTCTACCGCCTCTTTTTAATTTTAGGTCAATTTTCTTTATTTTACTTTTCCTAATGCGAAATTAAAAAATAAATCCGACTCTAAATTTTGACCACAAATCTCTATCTTTTTTCATTGAATTTTGACCAAGATTTTTCTGGCCTTATTGAAAAGCTTAAATTTATCCGTTCTATCCGCTGAAACATTTTCAAAACATCATCTTAAAATTAGATCGATAAAAGAGTACATGCGTCAAATTATCAATCGATTCGCAAGATTATCCCATTGTACAAATGTTTCCCCATTTTCCCCATGTGCACACACAGTACATACTTCATGAATGGATTGCAAACACCCCGTACAAATCTACAACAAAGATGTGAATTTTTCAACAGAAATTTTGAAATCTCACTCGAGTCGCTAGCATGCCACAACATAATTCAAAAATGTATGTTCGGATTTTGCTTCGTAGTTTAAAAAATAATAAATTAAGGAAAAGCGTGGTAATAATATATGAAAACATTGAATATTCATGCATCAATTCAATTCAAATGAAATCAGTTTCAGATTAGTCTAGGGTAGCATTGCAACGGGTATATATGTATATATATATATATATATATATATATATATATATATATATATATATATATATATATATATATATGTTTTAGGGATATTTGAACTAACTAATTTGAATAAACGACCGCTGTTCTAGATATTGAATATTGTGCTAATATTTTTATTTTTATTTTATAATATGTGTTAAGAATAATATTTCATTTGGAATGAACATAGATATAAAATTGAAAAGATAGTTACAATTATGCATGCCATGTTAGTAGTAATACTGGTTTCTTTCGCCATTAGTTTAGTACATGCTAACGTTATGCTAACGTTCATGGACTAACCCAAAGGTTATTGTTCCAATCTTCAAACAACGTCTTAAAATTCTTCGGTTCTGATCCTTGGTGAACAGTCACCAGACAGGTATTTTCTTGTGTCCTCTCAGTTGGATCCGTTTTCAAGTATTTCTAGGAAGACATATACATGTATTTACCGATAAAATATAAGAAGGCGATACGCAATATAGTAATGTCTACTTACTTTAGCCATGGCGATGGACCTCTCTTTTTCTTCTTCTGTTGTTCTACTGCCAATCCAAATATAAATTTCATCCCCTGCATCTAAAATCATCACATCATCGCCGTCCAAGTCCTAGAAACCGATTCAATTTTTAAATTAATTAGTTAAGAACGTTTAAATTGATTAGTTATTGTTAACGATAGAAGAACTATGAACTATTACTCCTAAGCTAAATTTAAACTACGGACTAACTATGTAATCGAACTAAAATTGTGCTGTCCCATGAAATATTCATGTGATTATCTTTAAAATATTAATTAATTACTCTTTACAAAAAATCTTACACTTTGGTCGTAGTCATCGACTTCTTCGACGCGTAGACGTCCGTTTGATAAAATCCGACAATGAAAGAGCCTTGGATCTATTATGGGAGCACCAGGTGGGTCAATTTCGGTGTTATAAGATGATTTCCCTCCTAATAACTCCCAAAATTCTTGTGTCTCAGAACCTTCTTCGATTACTTCAATTACACCGCCGCCAACACGGCTAGCAACATATCGAGCCATTTCTTTCTCATCATCAGAAGCGCCCTGGAATGATGTCAAATAAAGTTTATAATTGGTCATGACAAACTATATTGTCTCGTAATATTTTTCCCCCAATACAATACTTTTTATCTAAAATAGTAAATACGTAATTTATCGTTTACCCACCTAGATTTTCGTATTGGAGAGGGTTTTCCAAAGTTATACACTATTAAGTCTCCTAATAATTAAAACTTTGGCTAGTTAGGTTATTATTAGTTACTAGCGATGTTAGACAATCTTGTTATTGTGATAGTATGCAACCGATATTCGAATTTTTACAGCCAACTAATTTTTTTTAACAGATTTGACTGACTAAAAATTATTTAATAATATAACTAAGTTTCTAACTGTAAGCTTTCTAAAGCGTACCTTTCCAAACCATAAAGCAGTATAACCAGGCCTTGTCAGCAAAAAGGCATCATCGGAGCACAATGATGATGCTTCCAAGTCGACTTCCTCAGCTCGACCTTCGCCTGCGTCTGCGGAACCACGAGCTCTAAATAATTGAGTAGCGTCTTTAATGGGCTCTCCAGCACTACCTTTTTTGAAGGTTATCATTTTTCCTAGAGATAGAATAAAGAAACTAGTTGTTAGTGTCATTTTGCCTTGTGGCAGTTGCATGAACTTTCCAACAATGCAAATAATCTTTTTTTTTATTTATTATAGCGATCTATAATACAAAGTACATTAAGCTATTTTTTAGGATAACGTTTCATTGATAGCTCCTTCTATTATGAAGTAAATATTTAATTAATTTAATGTAGTAATTCATTACAATTTCGTTTGTTCTATCGCTTAGGTGGCTAAGGTTTAAGCTTGTCAATCGTCATCAGTTGATTTGGATGTTGATTTAGTCGAGTCTTGTATCTGGTGCAGAACGGGTTGATATCCTCTTAGATAGTTTGTATATGCAGATATCTATGTAACAGCCAATTAGTCACATCAATATTTAGATACTAATATTTTTCAGATTTTTAAATTATCTACCTCTTTACTTGTCTGCCATTACCATCTACCTCTAAACTTCTACAGCAGTCTACATGTCTACCTGTCTGCATGCTTACTTTTTTACTTTCTTATTCGTTTACTTATCTACCAGTCTACCTTTATTTTTTACTTTCCTACCACATGTTTACTCTTCCTGTACAACCGCCAAACTGTCTACTTCCTTCGTTGGCTTTTTTACTTGTTTACCTCACTACTTGGCTTCCTGTACCGAAGTATACCTGCTATCTATTCACCAATAATTCTATTTGTATATGATCAACGAATGTCAATTTCTTCAATTATTTTTCTGCATTTCCAAAGCCGCTGGACTCGCCTTCGCAAAAATGTGATCAATTCTTCATTCCGTCAAGCAAGTAAAATATTTTTGAATTATTCAAATCGGATTCTCCGTTTTCTCAAAGTTTCTATTTTAAGCAATTTTTGCCTCGTATCTTCGAAACGGTCGGACCTGTCTTTGCCAAAATCTAATCAGCACGTTTCCCCGTCATTGCGAATCGAATTGTTTTTGAATGATTCAAATCGGTTGATTCACGCGTCCAAAAATGTCGACGAAAAATAGTATACATACACACATGCAAACATATACATCTATTATATCTTATTGTAAGGTATGCCAAAGTGTTCAGAAACCTGAATGAAACGTAAATATTTTCGTTTTTGATTTTTTGCGATTACACTACGGCAAGTTAATAAAACTCAATTGCATGCAATTAATCTAATAAATTAATTGCAAAACAAAATTTATCGTAATTGTAGAACATCGGAGATATAAACCTACTTTTAAAACATTTTGCTTTCCTAGTACTTTTTTACAAGATGTTGACAACCATAATGATTCATTTCAATTATTGCTGATTTTATTTTATTTAATGTTATGTTATGAAAAATCGTATAAGAAGTATATCAGTTATTTGCTTTAGTTTTTTTCAATACCTTTGAGTAGTTTTAGAAGATGTCTGGGTTCATGCCCTTGAGGAACTCGTACTCGTACTGCAGTATTACCTAAGTCATCGTCAATGGCTACAACCTGTTCGTCTAAAGCGTCTCTGGTAATGCTGTCGCTTTTTTCTCCCTATAAAAAAAAGTTGGTGCAAACCTTTTGCAAAGTGTAATGATTTCAATAATTGACAGTTACTTTTCTTAAAATTAGTATATATATATATATATATATATATATATATATATACAGGGCCGGTCCTGGGGTCCTCAGCGCCCGCATGCAAGATTTGTTCTAGCGCCCCCCCCTCTAATAATTTTACTTGTTTTTACATTTATCATTAAAATTATATAAATATTTACGTAATTTTTTTGAATCCATTTTTAATCATTCTAGATTTAGTACACAAAAATTAGATATAATCTAAAAGCGTATAAAATACATTGGTTTTAATTTTATTTAGAAATTCGAACCGATTTGCGGGTTGACCATAATAAAAGATTTTACATTTTCAAGTATTTCTAACATATATATGTGTAATATTAATATTTGTGTTTCGAAACAGTTTACTTATTTCATTTTTAAACATAACACTCGTTTTTCATGTTGGATTTTTTAAATTTTATTTTAATTTTTTTTTCATTGTTTACAATATCCAAAATTGCATCGTAAACTTCTCCTTATTGATATCGTAAGGACCATATTGTTTTCATATTTACTTTCCCATCTGATTCAGAATATCAGATTGTTGTTTTAAAGTTAAATTTTTAACGTATTTTAAAAGATGCAAAGAAATTACATATTACATATTTTGCATCCATTTTTTATATTTGCGCCATCAGATGCGAAACATTTTCAACAAAAACAAAAGTTACTATTCAGTTTATCGGTCTCAATAAGCTATTTTCTAAGCACTGACTTCCCATTTTCCATATTTCTCCATTATAATTTGTATCTATTTTTTTAACAAGTTCCGTTCAAACTAAATCAGCTTGCAATATTTCGTCAATAATGCCCAATAATTTAAATTTTCGTAGGTTTGCGCTTGCGGAATTGAACGCTAGATCATTTCTTTTTTTATTTCGCATTAACTTCAAACGAAGAAAAATGTAATAAGTAACAATAAGCAGAGCAATAATGTACCAATTTGCAGAGTAATGAATTGTTTCTACTGATATCACATTGCAAACTGAGTATGCTTTTTGTGTCTCCGAATCCGTTAAGTTAGATTGTTTATTATAATCTATTTTGTTTTCGAATCTCGTTTTGGCGCCCCCTAAGGCGTGCGCCCGCATTTTTTGCATGCATGGCATGCAAGGCAGGACCGGCCCTGTATATATATATATATATATATATATGTGTGTGTGTGTGTGTGTAATTAGTAAAAAGCTATAAAATATATAGTTTATAACTAATTCATAGTTATAATCAATATATTTAATAAATAACAGTTTTTAGATTTTTGAATTGTTTTTAAATATATGAAAAATTATATTGTTAAATTTAACGTTAAAACTGACTGAAGTATGAGTTAGTAAAGTTTTTGATCACATAACATGACAATATATTCATCAAACGACTTACGATCCAGTAATAAATCACGTTTCCAGTGCTATAGGCATATTTCACTATATAGCAATCATTAGCATAGAACAAAGAAGCGTCATCCTCAGACCGCTCTGATACATGTCCAGGGCGAACTAATAAAATTTCAACCTTACCATCAGCGTGTTTGTCAGGCATGAAACCGACTGCGCGCGCTTTCGACCTGCGAAGCGCATGCCAGGCAGCGGGCTCGAACTCACTATCAGATTGGTCCGAATCTACCAAAATAATAAATAGGTTTAGGATCTATTGCAAATAAAATTGATTCATAAAACTGATACTTTTGTACTTGAATATGTTAAAAAACCGTTTTCAGATATAGCAGTTTGAATAAAATCGTACCTATTAATGCAGCTGATCTGATGAGTCTTGTATGTGTCATTCCTTGGTCTCTCCAAGTAGCGAAATATTGCTTGAATGCAGTGGTTTCGGCTCCGTCAACAACTCTGTGAACCTGTAGAATATAATATACACATAAATGAACAGAGCTATCTCTAAAATAAGTGAGAGCTTAACTTATATATTCTAGCAAAAACAAATCGTTGATAATAAAATGAAGATGAAGGATTTAGTGACAACATTATCAATAATTTATGCTGAGAAAAACTCTCACACTACTTCTTCCCTGAATTGTGTTGGAGTTTAACTCAACTCACAGACCTGCCTTAGGGCAGTGCTACCCATTTATATATATATATATATATATATATATATATATATATTAGGGTGGTCCTTAAAATGGTCATTTTCGAATTTCCTCTTTCCCAGGGGCTCAAATGGTTCTAAATAGATAAAAAACAATTCTCTGAAAGTTTTAGCTCTTAATATTAACGTTTAGATAGAGCGCAATTCAATCAAAGTTTGTATGGAAAGTGCATGGAAAAAAATTTGAAAATTAAAAAAACATGCGTTAGGTGTAATTTAGCGACAAATGAATGAGTTTTATTCATTCATTTGTTCGCTAAATTACATCTAAAAAACATTTTTAAAATTTTTGAAAATTTTTCCATGCTATTTCCATACAAAACTTTAATTGAATTGCGCTCTATCTAAACGTTAATATTAAGAGATAAAACTTTCAGAGAATTGTTTTTTATCTATTTGGAACCATTTGAGCCCCTGGGAGCAAGGAAATTCGAAAATGACCATTTTAAGGACCACCCTAATATATATATATATATATATATATATATATATATATAAGTGTGTATGTAATGTACATGGTATTGACCTGTGTCCAAACTGGGTATTTGTGACTAGCAAGGAACGCTTGACCTTTGGACATCGCCTTGCTTTTCTCGCCAGGTGAACTACGCTTTCCAATCCATACAAAGATTCCAGCTGAGCCAGCGTCCAAAATAAAACAATCCTAAGCAAAAATATGAATTAATTCTATTCTGCATTATATAACAATTTTATTACTCAATAGCGTACATTTGTATCCAGCATTTCCTGTCTGAGAGGCCTTTGAGCAACCAAAACAGGTTCACTTGAAGAATCTTGTATCCGATATAATTTTATTGCTTGCTCTTCAGATCTTTCAAATTCCTGGTCGTCACCGCCAGCAGCCTCTTCGGGGATAGCAGCTGCACTACCTGAACCAAGAGCTTCAAAAAAGCCTTCCACATCAGTTTGGCTGCTGAATTCGTCTACAAAATAATTTATACATATTTTAATTTAGAGTTAAAAGTAAAAATATGAAATATAAATAACATATTCCGATTATCTTCAATTTCATCAATATCTGACTGACCTATGATATTGACTCGAGCACGACCATGATGGTCTTGATCCCGAATTTGGTTAGCTGCACTGGTTGCTTTGATCTTTTCAAGCCGTTTGCTATTCTTTCCCACGTACACGTAAATAGTACCACCATTATCTAATATAAAGCAATCACCTTGGTTCATGCTAGAAATGCTAGGTTCGACCTAATCCAAATGAGATAGTTAGAAAAAGTGAAAAGATAGCATTTCAAAAGTTTTAAAACCCAAATATTATTTTCATAGCGCAGTTGAAAATTGTCTAAATACGAGAGAAAATATCAATTGTTTACATACCAGTTTAACTCGAATATTTTTTTTCCCTTTAACTTGGAATAAACGTTTTTCGCCATTGGCATTTGTTTCAACGTGGGTAAAACCGCTCGCTACACCTCCGGGCATATAACGTACTCCTACAAGCGTAAAAATTAATTTTATTTGCTTATTTTTATTCATTCCAAGTGTTATAGAATATCATCAAATTATTGAATACGCAATATCAATTATTCGACATATTTTGATAGATCTAACCGTTTTTAAAGTACGATAAGAACAGTGGACTCTCGTGCTCTTGCACTTCTCTATGTTGAATAGGAGCACCGCCCAATTTGTCATCAAGTTCTACAGTCATAATGGCTGCGGCACCTGCCTCATCTTGTGACGTTTCCAATCCAAGCCAGAAATGAACATCCCAGCTAAATTGGCCCTTCTTGTCTTCTTTAGTCTATTTGAGAAAACAAAAGACTTAATATGATGAACTCTTTTTTTCCAAATTGGAATTTTCATTTTAATGCATAAAACTTACATTCAGGATGATGTATGAGTCTCCTGTGTAGAATTTTCCAAAATCATTTTTAGGATACGCGACGGGTTCAAAATTCTGCAAGAGACGGCATATACAAAATTTCAATTAGAAATATTAATACCACCATCCAATAAAATATATTGACGTAGGATAAGCGAAAATGAGCGTTCGATAACTTTCTAACTCTTTTTTATTGTTTTATAAACAGTTTACAATTTGTGATTGAAATTATCTAATTATATTAATTAATTATTATATCAAAATGTTTGTAAACTAATGTATTTAACCACTTCGGTACGGCGCCTGCCGTCCACGAAACGTCGTCCGAATGCTGCCCCGTTGTTCATACACACCTTGTGGTGACACTTAAAACAGTGTCGCGAGTAATTGACGCTCGGTCATACACGTTCGTATCACGTCCGTCACGTAATGGTGACGCTCGGCTGTGTGGGGCCATCCGCGGCCGTCAAGTAAACTTGCCGCTCGTACCGAAGTGGTTAAATAGACAAAAATAGAATTGCTGCAGCAATATCGATATTTTCAAATACCTTACATTGTAATATTAATAATTAATTAAAATAAATTTTCCATTAATTTGATGCTCAAATAAATACATTATATAAATTTTAATGAAAGAACTATTTACCTTGAAAAAAATTTTTTAATACTTTTTTCGCTTAAAAGAACACAAGCATTTAAGTATAAATAAACTTTATAAGTATGGCATTGGGCCTTAAGGCAAATTGCTGAAACCTCCAGTACCAAAAATTAAAAATTTTAACTAGTGGTGCCTTAAGGCAAATTGCTCGAACTTCCCGTACCAATCTAAACAAAATTGAAAATTTGAAATTTATATTTAAAGTATAAAAAATTGTATATTTTGAAAATATTTTATTCTGAAAATTTTGAAATTTGTTTGAACCGTATAAGTGAACTTTAAAAATTAAAAATCTTGGCACGGAACACAAAAAATTGTACTAATAAAATTAGTACTCATGTGCATATGTCTAATGATTATTTTAGACAGCCAAATATCATTTTTTGTACATTTTTCTCTGTATTTCAGAAACCGCTAGATCTGCCTTCCCAAAAATGAATCAATTATTTATTTTGTCAATACAAGTAAAATGCTTTTTCAAATCATTCAAATCGGGCGCACCGTTACCTCCAAAACTGAATAACTATTTTTGGCACTTTTTACTCCGTATCATCGAAACGGCTAGACCTGTCTTCGCCAAAAACTAATCAGTACGTCTTACCATCAATAGGAATCAAATGTTTTTTTGAATGATTCAAATCGGTTGATATATGCGCCCAAAATCGTGGACGAAAAATTGTGTCCAAACATACATACACACAAACACACATCCAACTTTTCTAAGGTATGCCAAAATGTTCAGTAACCCTCGTAACGTGAAGATCTGCGAACATTTTCATTTTCGATTTTTTGCGACTATCCTAACTTACCCTACGAAAAGTTAAATATAATATTTAATTAAATAAAAATAGTTGAGATTTATTTAAGATATTTGTATATGTGCAGCAAACCGATCATAATGTCAAAACTTGTTATTTAATTTCTTTCATTTAATTAAATTCTTATTATTTTACTTGTTTATTATGTGAGTATATACATATTTATAATTTACATAAGTTATGAATAGTGAAAGAAGTTGATCGTATATAGCATATAACTTAATATTAAATATTTTTTATCATTCATAGAATTTTAAAGAAATTCATTATTTTCAATCTGCTAATTTTATTCGTTTTGAAGGACGATTGTCTGTCACGCTAAAGTTGCTCAGAACAATACAGATCTAGTTGAACATGTGACCAATTTACGTAACACAATTGTCGAATCAACTTTGTTAATACTGTTTTAAAGGATTATAGGTTGGACTTGAAAACTAAAACTTTGTTTAGCCAAGTTCCAAATAAATAACACGTTTCAATGAGAAGAGTTTTACAAATCTTTTCATTTATTTTTATTTTTATTAATTTAATATTTATTAAAAAATATTGTCATATAACTTGTTGTTATATTAATTGGTATATCATATTTGTTGTGTTTTTTTTTACTTTATTTGTATGCACTAAAGATGGTTCAAATCAGGGCCCGAGAAAAACTTTAACTTAATATTTCACCATCTGAAAAAACCTCTCGCTTTATAGAATAGGTCACTCAAATCCGTAGGATGACGCATAAATGATGTAGCAATATAATAAGCCATATGATTTGTAGAAAGCACCAACTTTAAGAAGATATATGTCAAAATGTATTTCATGACAATCTGACGATTAGTTTACAAGTTACAGAAGTTCAAGTGACGCTACTTTTGAGTTTTTCAAAACTATGAACTCAAAGCAATTTTGTTTGTTGATTTATGATTGCTTTTTGATGGGTAACAATACCATCACAGCCATAGTATTGCTTGTTAAGTGTTATCTGGACTCTGCCAAATCAAGGCAAAGGGTGGAGAAGTGGTTTGCTGACTTTAATTGTGACCATACAGACACTGACGACGCCGAACTTTCTTGAAGGCTAATTGTGGTGGTTACACCGTAAAACATAATAAAGTCCACCAAATCGTTTTGGAAAACCGAAAAGTGAAAATGCTTGATATAGCTGACACCCTAAAGATATCAATAGAACGTGTTGGACATATCGTTTACTAATATTTGAATACCAAAAAGCTATGTGCTAAATGGGTGCCGCGCGAACTCATATTTGGCGAAAAATATAATATAACGAGTTGATGATTTTACAAGAGTATTTATAAGAGTATTTGGAGCTGTTTAATCGAAATAAAACTGAGTTTTTGCATCAATTGTTACCATGGATGTGACTACCTCGACTGCCCTAATATATATATGGAGAGTGCCTCCTACACGACGTCGTCGAGGGTAAAATAGAAGGAACAAAAGGAATGGGAAGGAGAAGAATGCAGACGATTGACGACTTACGCGAGAAGAGAAAATACAGGGAACTGAAAGCCGAAGCACATGATCAAGAAGCATGGAATCAGAAGTTTGGAAACGAAAATACATGAAATAAAAAAATGGGGATAGAGAATAGTGGTAATGGGATGAAGGGCAAGGAAATCATTTGATGTGGTGGCTCTCAAACCATGGACCTGCCTTCGGGCAGACTACCATTTTATTATTATTATTATATATATATATATATATATATATATATATATATATAAATGCGGGCGAACGCCTAAGGGGGCGCCTAAACGAGTTTCGGAAATTAAATTTTTAATATAATATTTATATTTTTTTATATAAAATCTATAATTATTTATATGAAATCTAGAATACTTAACTAATTATAATAAACAATCTAACTTAACTAGGAATACGGAGACACAAAAAGCATTTATTCACATTTATTTTGCAATGTAATATCAGTAGAAATAATTAACCGATTAATAACTCTACAAATTAGTAAATAACAGCTCTGTTCATTGCTTAATCTACTTATTCAATTTTTTCTTTGTTTGAAGTTACCGTGGAATTGAAAAAGAAATTATTTAGTGTTCAATCCCATAAGCTCAAACCTGCGAAAGATTAAATTAATAATTGGGCATTATTGACGAAAAATTGCGAGCTGATTTAGTTGAAAGGGAACTTGTTAAAAAATATAAACAAAATATATGCGAGTAAATAAAAAATGGGGAGTCAGTGCTTAAAAAATGGCATGTTTATTCCGAAAAATTGAATTGTTATGGAATGGGTTGAGGAAATGGAACAAATATAAAAAATGGAAGCAAAATTTACTTTAGAACGAAAATCTTAAGGCTTTTTTTATACCTAGTGGTGTCGATACTCTAAATTTAATAATTAGAGGCAGAAATAATACATATCAAATATAATAAGTTTTTTTTAATATAGTTCAAGAAATGTGTAATTTCTTTGCATTTTTTACTAATTTGTAATTAATTTATAATATATATATATATATATAATTTGTATATATATATATATATATATTTATCATAGCAATTGTAAACAATTTCAAAAGATGGAAAATGGAATGTCTCCTTGTTCATGTTTAAAACATTTTGTATTGTGCAATTTTTATTTAAAGCTTAAAGAGAAAACCGCTTTTTATTGTGCAGTCTTGAAAACTCAAAACTCTAAAAATTAACAATACATATATTTTATACTCATATTTTTGAATGTGGTAAGAATTTTTAGAACAAAGGATTTTATTATTACACTCCAAAATTTTGTCTGTTTGCTGCTTAGGTGAATAACAGAGCAAACGTGAACTGGAATCAATATTTTCATTTGGGTAATGAAACGAAATATACTTACTATTTATTAACTTTGTTTTAAGATATTATGATAATATTCGCAAAAAAATTAAGTGAGGAAAGATTTACTGATAAAAATGTATTGATACGTTTTTCTCGCATGGCCAAATTAATAAAAAAATTCGTGTTATGATTTTTTTCATTGATAGATAAGTTGGCAATTTAACTGATATTACTAAAAGCCTGATAAGGCGGTTTTTATTGATGGTTGTGAAAAAAGATAACACAAATGTTCCATATAGATATTGATTTTATTTGGATAAAAATATAGGTATACGAAAGATCCTTTCACAAAGAATTTAATATCAGTGAAACTGCTGAATAAAATTTCATGTATAAATTTTTGACCTCATATTTCAAATTCTTTGTCATGTGTCAAATAATCATTTAGCACAAAATTAGTTAAATGCTTATTTTCCTGACAATTGAATTACATTTTAAAATTTTCGCTTCACTACACTAAACTGGTTAGAAGTTCCCATAAATGAAGTTGATTTTTGCTTGGTAAAAAGGTATAAAATCAATCAATATAGTTGTTTATATTACATTCAATTAAAAAGATTGATTGAACACAGAGCACTACCCATGTTTCTTTGTTAAAATGATTTTTAAGAAATGTATGCGAAATAATTTTCAAAATCATTCATTAGTGAACATAAAATTCTTAAATATAGTATTATCTTTAGATTTTTACGATGTGGTAAACTGACAATGATGCTTATTTTTAGCGGCCATAAAATCTCATATTATTGATTTGCCAGATAAATTTCTATTTTTAGTTTAAAACAATAAATTTTGTGTTACTGTTACCTTAATGGATTATTTTAACCAAGCAGAATGCGCTCTGCTTCTTTTTATTTTAGTACGACCTAATAACAGTTTTATAATTTAAGATTGGAAAAAACTATTATTCATAGGAGTTCCAGGGAGTATATGTGGGAATCAAAAGAGGCCATGAGTTTTTGATAAAAAAAACAATTATTATGTCATGACATTTTTTTTATAGTTTTGAAATTATAATTTTTAATACATTTTTTATAAAACATAGAAATATCTGTCTACTTATTTATATTTTTCTATACTCCCGTAGGCCAAGTTATAGTAATCGCAAAAAAATCGAAAATGAAAATTTGTATATATTTTTACGTTCAGAGGTTTCTGAACATTTTGGCATACCTTAAAAAAAATGGATGTATGTGTGTGTGTATGTGTGTATGTGCGGATACAAAGTTTTGTCGACGATTTCGGGAACACGGTTCATCCGATTTCAATTATTCAAAAAACAATCGATTCCTATTAATAAGGAGACGTGCTGATTAGTTTTTGGCACAGGCAGGTCTAGCCGTTTCGAAGATACGGGGCAAAAAGTGCCAAAAACGGTAACTCAGTTGACTCAGATTTTAATAAGGTGTATCAATTTTGTTTACATTTCAATGGGCTTCGAACATCGTTTGCCCGTTAGACGGCGACGCGGCGCTTACGCGCTTCGATATTGGGTCTCTATGCTGCTAAAGCAGTGCGATTGTTTTGAAAAAAAAGTTCAAAATTTTCAAAATATTTCAAAATAATAATCTTTTTTGAAAAATTTAATTTTTGGCAAGGGAAGTTCCTGCAATATGCCTTAAGGCACAATGCCATACACCACTAGTTTTTTATATACTTAACCAAAAAATGAAAATATTTTTTATAACACAAACATAAGAGTATTTTGCAAGGTACATTCAATTAAACAAAATATTTTAATTAGAGTATAGCAAATCAGAAGGTCCCAATTAGTTAACTTATCTAAAATTAAGTTAGTTCATATACCTAAAAAAGTAAATCAATATTTTTAATTATTGCCATAATAGACATAATACAAATATAACGTATATAAGCTAAAAAAATCATTGTTTACAGAATTTAATCATCACCGGCTAATTATGAAAATATTAATTGCATATAAGAGCAGAACTAGAACAACAATGTTTCATTCGATGCTTTTTTGGGCAGGGCCCCTAATAGAAACTTTTAAGTTAAATAAGATCCTATTTTAATAGTATTACTGTTAATGTTAATGTACAGGTATATGCCCATGTAAACTAATTAAAATTTAATGCAATCATCAGCTGTACTAGTTAATAATGACTTGAAAATTCAGTTCGATAGTTGTAAATAGTAATACGATATTTTAATCATTTCAGTATTTAAGTGATTAAATTCCAAACTGAACCATACACATAATCTAACCAAAATTAGTTATGTATCAGAAACCGTCCATCAGCTGAGTACAAATTGTAAGTAAACGGATTTGGCAGGATGTCAATTACTATAAATTTGCAAATAAATTTCTATATACTTCAAAGCTGAATAATAAATATCATGCTTTGAGGCTATAAAATGTATATATAGAGAAAAGATCCACTATAAGAGTAAAGTAGCATATATTTTATTTGATTTCAAACGAAATGCAATTTAATGAAAGCAAAATAAAATTATAAAATGTGATTTGTAAGCATCGACCTACCCAGTAAGGACCTATAACTAAAATAAATATCCTAAACTTATTATGACTTTGGCCATAAACTGCTAAAAATAGATTTTCATTCGATAGAATCGTTTCGCATTTCAAAACATTATTTTGATGTTATGGGATTTAGATTTAGAAAATTTTATGAACTAGAAATAATGATGATTGTTATTTAACGCTGCATGATTTACAGTTCTATTGATTAAACTTAAAAGTTTAATATGTTTATGGTTCAATGCATGTAATTCTGGAATTTTTAATTCAAATGCAGCCGCTTTTAGATCACATGGACGCTTTATAGTTATTTTATATTTATTTCTCATTAAAAAGTTCTCATTCGTCTTTTTTTTTCTTAATTAAAGATAATAAAAAAAATTACTGACTATACTACTAGGCACTAATAATTTCTCGCTAATTTATATGTCACGTTCAATCGAATAGTGTTAACCAAATTTTATTCGAGTGTTATACTATTAATATTTAATTTAAAATTTTGTAAGGTATTTAGGCCGATCTTGGATACTAATGAAGAAAATAAGAAATAAATGATAATTGGACAAGTTGTGCACATATATAAAATGATTGATAATTAACTTTCCGTAGGGTAAGTTATAGTAATCGCAAAAATCGAAGATAGAATTTTTATATATCTTTCCGAAGACTTCCGAACATTTTGGCCATATTCCGACTATTTTGACATACCTTAGAAAATAATGTATATGTATCGACGATTTCGTGAACACTGATCAACCGATTTGAATCATTTTCTATGGACGGGAAGACGAGCTGATTAGTTTTTGGCAAGGCAGGTGCTGTCGTTTCGAAGATACGAGGCAAAAAGTACAAAAATGGTACTTTGGTTTTTGGCAGAAGGCGGTGTTCGATTTGAATGATTCAAAAACTATTTCACTTTTATTGACGAAATGATCATTAGACATCAAATATATGTTCATCACATTATCCGATGTTTTATAAATATTTTAATAACAAGCACAAATTTTGTTTGCATTTCTATGAGCTCTGTACCAAGATTTATAATTACTTCGCGCTTCGATATTTCGTCTCTAAAACGGTTATGTAGCACGGTTGCTGTGAAAAAAATTCAAATATTTTTATAAAATTCTAAAATATGAAGTAAATTTAGATATTTTAAAAAAGTCGGGCTTTTTCCAAAATTTCAAAATATTCAAATTTTGCCATCTTTCTGTATCATTCTCTTCCGTACTCATTTTTTTACAAAGTTTCCAAAAAATAGTAAATCTTTTAAAAATTTGCCTTAAAGCACGATGCCATGCACCACTAGTTAACTTTATATTAATGTTAAAAAATAAAATTATGGAAGACGATTTAAATAAAAAATATATTTCATTGAAAAAATATGCGAACCTCTACACGCCACACCTCCAAGCCTTTGGTAGTACCAGCATTGGCGAATTGTTCGTGCATGGCTTTTAGAGGTCTTGTCCTTTTAGCGGCCTTATCTTCGGCTTCTGGTTCCGGTAGAATGCTAACCGGGTTAGCTGAAAAAAAATACAAATTCTTTTATACTTATGTTTATTGAAATATTTCTAATCACGCTTCGTTGGTCTTCGATTAAAATTGTGTTTTATAGTATAGATCATATACCTTGTATCAGTATCTTGGAACAATAAGAGTAATACTCAATATCATTAGGATTAGTGCGAAAATCCCACTTTATCTTTTGCATATAAAAAACTATTCAACTTTATATAAAACTTATACTGTGTAATATGTGTAGTATTTTTTCTTATGTACATAGGTACAGTCATGCCCTCACACCTGTAATCCTAAGGCCTTATTAAATAGTATAGTAAGAACATTCTGTTTCATTCGTGTAGTTAGATTATGCCACGTTTCACCGATAATTACAGGGTGTCCATAGAAGTCGAGTTAAGGAGTTGAAGTAAACTCTTTCGTAATGGGGAGTGCAATGCTAAAATATAATCATTGGCAGTCATTGCACCCCAAGAAAGGGGCTTCAACCTATATTCGTCACAATATGCATACTAGTGCAAAACCAAAGATTTAATGAAAATCTTCTTAAAATAAATTTATTTAGATATAAATGCTAAACATCAGAAGATATTAAGATTTCTCATATGTCGACCGTTTAAGATATAAATAAGCCGATAGAATAATAATTATATTAACTAGTTTTAATAATTTGATTTTGATTGTTTAAAGTTAATTAGAAAGTAACATTAAATTATCATGAAAGATAATAAAACATAAGTTATCAAATCGTAAGGCATAATTTAGAAAGTGTTTATTTTGTAACACAGAAATGATCTAATTCAATGTGTAATTTTCTTATTTCGCATTGTTTAATAATAAAAACTGATAATAAAAAACGGTTATATATATATATATATATATATATATATATATATATATATGAGTGAGTTCTTGAGGGCGATACATCAAACAAAGAAAAGCCAAAGATTTTGTAAAATAATCTTTATTTCCAAACGTTTCGACATTCAATTTAATGTCATCATCAGTGGATATTACGTTGGTTGGTTACATATAGAGAAGTGTACACAGCACTAGAGATTGGCACTAACATTTATACAACTAACTTGTCAGCACTATGCATTTTTTATATAATTTTTTTGTATGATGTAAACAGAAAAATGATAGTTTTATTGAACAAAAATGTAAGTAGAATTATGTAATTTCTGCCACGACTTCTGTACTTTGCTAGTACCGAGGCATGTATTGATACATGTAAACAGAAAAATGATAGTTTTATTGAACAAAAATGTAAGTAGAATTATGTAATTTCTGCCACGACTTCTGTACTTTGCTAGTACCGAGGCATGTATTGATACATGCGAGGCATGTAATATCCACTGATGATGACATTAAATTGAATGTCGAAACGTTTGGAAATAAAGATTATTTTATAAATCTTTGGCTTTTCTTTGTTTGATGTATCGCCCTCAAGAACTCACTCATATATTTCAACATCAAAATTAACTACTAAATCATATATATATATATATATATATATATATATATATATATATAAACGGTAATAAAAGCTTTATCTAATTTCCACGTAAATTAATTAAAATGACGAAGTGTTAGAAGCAATAACTTCGATTTTATGACATGTCTATTACGAAAAAAATATAACAGGAATAAGTGGATTAACTAATTGTACTAACGACATTGAAAACTTGGAACATAGGAGCCTCTAACTGCTGATAAACTTTATTGAACTTACTGGAATGATGTGTTTATGTATTTACAAAATTCTCAATAAAAAGATTATACAAAATACGCAGGAGTAAATAATTTACAAAATGTTAAAAAAAATGCTCAAGAAACTTGGTAGGGTGTTTTTACCATATGTAGGTTTTGAGACAACTTTTAGGGTGTCAATATACAAGTATTTACAGACTTACAGCTGGGTAACTTGAATCCGAGGTGAACTTACTATAATGACTGGACTAATTTATCGAAAATGATTGTGAATTCCCACATGTGGTTGGGAAATGTTTGTACAACTAATTCATGATTCATCTATTGTCAGTCAGCCAAGAAGATATGTGAAAGAAAAATAAACGCTTCACATATTGAATTTCTTATTTAAGTAAATCAATGTTAGATATGTTAATTCGTTACAATAACAAAATTACGTCGGTAAAAACTAAGAACAGAAAGACAAGATAATTAAATAATAAATGTAATAAAATAAAATAAAATATAAAAAAAATCTGTATAGCTTATATCTGAATATTATAACAAACAAAGGTAAGCAATAGAGAGGAATTTGAAGACAATAGAGTATTTTTACAAGAAAATCATGATAGAGACCATAATTAAAATAAAATATATACAGATCTGTTAAGTTTTAATGATTTTCCTTATAGATCACCTAACTCTGATTGCTGTACAAAATAAAAATTATGGCCGTATTCAGAAATAAATCAATTAATAACTTCTCGGAAGGTACGTTACGAAAATCTCAAAAAATCGAAAATAAAGATTTTTTTTAAATGAATGTATGTATGTGTGTGTGCGGATACAAATTTGTATCCGCATTTTTTATTGAATCTCCAAAGTTTGTAAGTTAACTTACAAACTTTAGAGATTCAATAAAAAATGCGATTTTGGCGGTCAGAAATGATCATTAAACAAATTCACATCAAATTATCAGATATTTTTGATAAAATGTAATTTTCTTCAAAAAATTTAAAATGTTCAAAAATCTGATTTTGTTTAAAGCATTAAAAAAAATTAATGATGACTGATTGTGACTAAAAGACAGTATTATAATTATCCGTTCAAATCGCTATAACCCATAATGCTATATAGTAACAGTACAAAAAATAATTATTTGTTTACCAACAAGTTTGGTCTGAAAATGACATTTTGGGTAAGTAACCTACTAAAACTTACTTTAAAAACCCCTGAAGTTTAGGTCTGCTTAAAACACTGCACAATTTGGATGATGAATAGAAATTGTTATAATTGTAATATAATATTTCAAACAATAAAAACGAAAAACAAACAACTATGACTACGAGGAAGTCACGCGAGTTGAGAAAGCTCAACGTTTGCGACTGACAAATGTATTATGTAGACTGATTGTGAGTTTTGTGAGTCAACATACGGTGTTATTTTCGCGTACATCACACATGACGCATTTTTACGGCACATCTTGTATGTATAATACATAAACGATACATATAATATAAAACGCATTGTCTGTACGAGTGTACTCGTATACAACAATGATAATAAACCTAATGGAATCTGTTAGTCGGATTTTCCAAATGATAAGGTATTATACACTCAAATGACTATTGCCAAAACAATGTCTTTATTTTTTTACAGCTGAAAATTATTAACTAAAGATTCCAATAAAGTGCATATTGAAAGCGTTCCTCAAGTATAAATATTCATTACTAATGTTAAGAGGTATTTAGCCTTAGGCAAGTTGCAAGTAAATAACCAACTTGAATAACAAAAACTATGATTTAGCTATTTAAACAAAATTTCACCAATTTATTTCGAAAATAATGTTTTAGTTTTTAATAAAAATTAAATACGAAGTAGCAGTCAGGCTGATTTTTACCTAAAACTATTCAGCACGAATCGTGCACGATTCCTAATATCAACATGATTCCTAATATCTTTTAAATGTTTTTAAATTTGCTGAGAATTATTAGCACAAATTTGACGAGACGTTGACGAAACATTTTGTGCTGTTCTACAAATCCTAAACAAACGAATCGGCAGATCGTTTTACAAAATTAGTCCAATATCGAGTTTCATCAAATAATGTTTAAATTTTTTGCAGCCGTTTTGGAGAAAACGTCGTCAAAAGGTCAAATTTTTCTTCACACACACATACTATTACGTTTCTGGCGGAAACAAACTTCTCATTTGGAAAGTAGATAAAGCAGAAATATAAGATAAAATATTCGATTAAATAATTAAACTAGTGTTTTTTTTTAATAATCTGTAGTTTTTTTTTGAAAATTTTAGACTATCAAAATATCGAAGCGCGCAAGCGCCGCGTGGCTGTCAAACGGATAAACATTGGTGAGGGCCTATAGAAATGTAAACAAATTTGTACTTTTAAAATTCCTATAAAGTAATTTAATATGCATTTGTCTAATGATCATTTTTGACCGCCAAATTGCATTTTTTTACTGTTTTTATTAGGTCTCCGAATCCGCTGGCCATGCCTTTGCAAAAATTTAATCAGTTCTTCCTTTCGTCAATACAAATAAAATGTGTTTTAATAAGTTCAAATCGGCTACTCCGTTCTCTCAAAAACTGAGTAGCAATTTTTTGCATTTTTTGTCCCGTAACGGCTGGACCTGCCTTTGCCAAAAACAAATCATTAGGTCTCCCCGTCAATACGAATCGAATGTTCTTTAAATTATTGAAATCGGTTGATCCGTGTTCTCAAAATAGTCGACAAAAATTTGTATCCGCACACATACTGCAACCATTTTTATTAATTAAAATACATACATGCCAAAATGTTCCGAAACCTCTGAAACGTAAAGATATATAAACATTTTCATTTTCGATTTTTTGCGATTACTGTAACTTACCTTAAAGTAATCCTAATTACTAATAACGCATATTTGAGTAAAGAAATACTAGAAATGTTACATAATTTACATAATATTTTAGCAAATTATGTGAATTACGTTTGATCTAAATAGCGCGACTTATTCTGAACTTGAATGATTAAAAAGTATCATAGTATCCTATAATATACATAGTTATATATTTGTCGATCGATTATCTACATATTTGGAATCTTCGAAAGGCGGACTTCAAAGAATTGTGCAAAAAAAATGAAATCATAGAATATATATGAGCTCGCCCGTAGGTAAGCGGTTAAGAGCGACGGGACCTGAATCAGAGGTTTCGGGTTCGATACCCACTTCGAGCAGCCTGTTGTCAAGCAGCACTGACAACGATTTTCACTTGGAAATATAGATAGCAATATGTTTCCAAGTGAAAATAGTCCTTGCCCGGCATTGCTGCACCAATAAAAAGTCAGCTCTATTAGATTAATTCTAATAACAAAAATCATCATATACGGATGGATTAACCATTGGGTTACCATCTAAAAAATACGAAGTAAGAAGAAGTTTCAGCCCAACAATTCATAGGACGAAAGGTTCTGATTGCTGTTAAAAAAATATCAAAAAAAAAAGAATATATATTAATTTTTATAATTTTACTTATAATTCAGTAAATTATATAATTTTGAAAAAATGTATGATCTGAACTCATTAATATCTCAATAAATATTAGGTACAAAAAGATATATCTATGAATAGCTTAATAATATTCATATATATTCGCATTTATATGCTTTAAATGCGAAAATAATTAATATGTTGATCAGAATCTTTTACTTCTTACTAAATACTCCAAAATAGTCACGTTTGTTCAAAACTAATTAGAATAGAAGCGCAGTAACACTTATTAACACTAGAATGACGGAGGTTGGTTGTATACCTATTTCGCCTGATTGAGAGTTAATTTGGGTAAGGGATTAGGATGAAATAGAAATGTATACTTTTATTGTACCATAAAAAAAAACAAAAAAATATTTTAAAAAAATGACTTGAAATTGTTATGACATAAAAAGTGCAAATTAGTCAAATTGGCTCACTCCATCATTCTAGTGTTAGCATGCTATATGTCGAAGGTGGACATTACTGGACATGCGCGTAATACAACCACCTTAGAGAGATTTTATGTGTATCATACCAATTATTTCCAAGTAGTATTAAATTGAGCTATAGATCGACGAGCAACAAATATATTTATTACTAAGTTTTACTATTGTGATAACATTTATTTATGTCACACGAGATATTTTACCTGGTCTCCTATTGCCAGTTGTAGCAGCGCTCGCTGTATTTGAATTAAGAACACAGGCAGCAAATAACATCAGTATAGACATGTAAATTGTTACTGTCCCCATCTTGCGAACAAGCTGAAACAAAATTAATTTCAATTTACACAACCGTTCATATGTAATACAGATGTACCTACAAAAGCAATAGTAATAGCTATGAGAATAATATTTATTCTATGCGTTTCAAACACAAATAAATATATGTATAGGTCTAAGAAAATGACTCACAAAAAATCTGAAAAATTAAGCAAAACATTTTTATCGAAGATATAAATTATAAATAAATTCTTATTTTCATGATTTTATGTTTTGAGGAAAAGTTACTAGAAATGATAACATAAGTTTCATTGTATAAGGTCAGAATATGGTTATAAACTATACAGTACAATATGTACTTATCTACTTACAAAACATATACAAATTTATTGGGATACAAAAATATAAATTAGAAATTATTATTTTATTTATTTCATTATCATATAAAATTAGAGTCATAAAAGATCTAAAAGAGATAGCCGAGAAGAAACGCAAGAAATGTATTTTGGAGGCACAGATTTTTATAATAAATAAAATTACAAATGTTTCGACTATTTGCGTATGTTTGAAACCAATTTTTCACTGCAGCATTCTAAACTACGTTTCATTATATTAAGGACTAGATGACCCGACAGACGTCCTGTACTTATGTTTACATTTCAAAAGTTCCATTTTTTTAATAACCTATACTGATATTTACCAATTAGTTAAAAATAATTATGTTTTTTACACTACAGTCTATACCGAAATGTATATACATTCATCCATATAGATCTTAAATGTACTCGTACTGCTGCTCTAAATAAAATAAGTATTTTCCTTTTTGAAAAAAATTATAAAACAATTTTTTCTTATAATTAGTTCTTTTATCGATATCCGGCGTTATTTTTAAAAAAAAAATGAAATTACACCGCTGAGAGAAACGACATTCCCCCGGGAAATGGCTAAGGTGTCTGAATTATTTTCACTTTTGAACTTGAAAGTAAAATAAACCTAATTACACGAATTGGAGCACAGTAAAAAAATTCAGACACAAAACGCTTCATTGATTTGAGTAAATATTCCGTATCCGATGGCAAAGTATGAAAATACTAACGTTTGAATGTGAAAAAGAAAAGGACTGTTTTTAGGGTTTTCCCGGCAATTATTCGATTTTTTCTCGCCGTAAGGACCATCTTTGGACTTCAACGAACACTTTAAAACAAGAATTGGCCAAATTGGTCCAGGCGTTGTTGAGTTATGCGCTTACCAACACATTTTGCGATTCATTTTTATTCAAAGATTTGCAACAAAAATATATATGTTTGATATTAGTCATTTATATAGTATATAATATAGTCGCATCGGACATCGACTTTGCAACATGTGCTCCTTACAACAAGAAATTCTTCCTAAAAATTTATATAATTGTTCCGATTTAAAATGACAAGAACTGTTTTAGTAGTGCAATTGTGAATAATTATTATTAGGAATTAATTAGGAATATTACAATTACATTCCACTGAAGATGGCACAAAACAATGTGTGGAAACGTATGGAAACAATAAAAATGTTATAAGTTCCTACAAGCTTTTAATTGATGTATTGCCCCTATATGTATTCAAACCCATTACTAAATTTTCGACCCTAAATTTTCACTCTCATACCTCAAACCCCTGTTTCGTAATAGTAATTTTAGTAGCCCAATCACCTTTCATTTCGATAACTGATCATTTATCTTTTTTTAAGGTTTTTCATAGAATTTTGATTGATTTTTCTGATTAAGAGCCTATAAAAAAGCTTGAATTTATTCCCTCTATCCTTTGAAATATTTTTAAAACAATTCTTAGATATTGGCGACAGAATGTTTACCACCGATAAAATTAGATACGTCAAATTATCCCATTGTACATATATTTCCCGGTGTGCAAACACAGTACAAAGTGCATATGAATGGTTTGCAGAAAGAGAACATATCAAAATCTGAAGATACAACCGTTTTTGAAACTAGGGAAACTAGGTACCATACAAATACATATATGCCAAAACTGTAAAATTTTCTACAGAGTTTTTGAAACCTCACATGATTCATTAGACATGCCACTGTATAGTTCAAAAATGAATGATCGTATTCAGAAATAAATGAATTAATTAATTTAATAAATAATTAAAACTTTGGGTAACAAAATGTGCTAATTCAATTTAAATGAAATCAGTATCAGATTAGGCTGGCACTTGCAAAGGCTATTAATATGTCCCAGGAACACATATGTTACATGCGTTTCAGTGGATAAACTATTAATTTAATTTGTGTTAGCTGCCCCTTGCACTTATATACCACATACTTCTACATTCAGAACCAGTTAATTAGTTTTAGATATACCTACAAAAAATATTCTAGAAATATTTTTTATGACTAAACAACGTTTTTGCCGGGCCAGCTAGTACATGTATTTAGATTATGAAAAAAAAACAGTTATTCAACGTAACGCTAAATTAGTATTAATTAAAATTGAAAGCTTAATTATAAAATTGTAGACGACATAAAATGTATAAAACCGGTTATGAAATTTATCTACATATAAGCAAGTCAACTTAGGTCAACAAACAAATAAATTACATTTTATTGCTCGACATTAAATAATATAAAATTAAGGAAAAATTTTTTTTTTAAAGTTATTGATATTTTGATAAATTCGTTATATTCGGTTTTAGTAATAATACATATTTCAGAAAGAAATAAAATATTAAAATAAAACAATAAAATATGAACACGATATACTTATTTATGATCCAGTATAAAAAAAGGAAGATATTCCCGTGAAATTTTAGTCTAAATAGTTGTTTTGAGGAACCTGACAGTTTTATTTTATCTACCTTATCGTGTTTTATCCTTTTTAGCAACCATATAACGAAGAAATGAAGAAATCCAAACAATAGGCACTTAATAAAATTTCTATTCAAAATAAATTATAAATAATTACTAAATTCAACTTTACTATTATAAAATTTTTTGTCAAAAAAATAAAAAAAAAACAAAAAAAATATAGAAATTCAACGGATTCTGTATTGTTTTGAAGTACCCTGACAGTTTCATTTTGTCTACCTTATTGTCTTTTATCCTTTTTAGCGACCATATAGGCACTTAATAAAATTTCTATTCAAAATAAACTATAAATAATTAATTAATTCAATTTTACTAATATAAAATTTTTTGTCAAAAAAATAAAAAAAACAAAAAAATATATACAAAACCAAAGCCTTCTGTATTGTTTTGAAGTACCTGACAGTTTTTACCTTATCGTGTTTTATCCTTATTAGCGACCATATACCGAAGAATTCAAAATAAGAGGCACTTAATAAAATTTATATTCGAAATAAATTAAAAATAATTACTAAATTCAACTTTACTATTATAAAATTTTTTGCCAAAACTTAAAAAAAAAAACAAAAAAATATACAAATTCAACGCCTTCTGTATTGTTTCGAGGTACCTGACAGTTTAATTTTATTTACCTTCTATATCCTTCTCAGCGATCATATAAAAAAATCCAAACAATAGGCACTTAATAAAATTTCTATTCAAAATAAACTATAAATAATTAATTAATTCAATTTTACTAATATAAAAATTTTTGTCAAAAAATAAAAAAAAATAAAAAAATATACAAATTCAACGCCTTCTGTATTGATTTGAGGTACCTGACAGTTTCATTTTATTTACCTTATCTAGTTTTATCCTTATTAGCGACCATATACCGAAAAATTCCAAATAAGAGGCACTTAATAAAATTTCTTATTCAAAATAAATTATAAATAATTACTAAATTCAATTTTACTAATATAAATTTTTTATCAAAAATTAAAAAAAAAAAGAAACAAAAAAATATACAAATTCAAAGCCTGTATTCTCTCTTTGTTTACTTTTCTCAAAACCAATTAAAATGTATATGGATAATAATGGATAATATTAGTGATAAAAAATTTTGGCAAATTTTTAACAGAACCATTGGTCGTTATGCTTTTTTCATGTTCATCATGTTTGGTTTTCATTTCATTTTTATGATATATTTTATAAAATAAGTATTTACTTAAGAAGAAGAACCTAGAAACTAGTTGGAGTGCAGACTATCTTAAAATTAATATCAGGAGCTAAAACTTTCAGAGATTTTTTTTATCAATTTGGAAGCATTTGAGCCTCTGGGAGCAAGGAAATTCGAAAACATCCATATTAACGACCACCCTAATATATATATATATATATATATATATATATATATATTTTGTAAATTTTCTTCCGAATTGCAATAGCCAAAATAAAATGTGTTATAAGGTCTATGTCTCAAAACCAAATGATTTTTGTGTGAATGAATTCACATATCTTCTTGTCTGGTTTTTCTAGTTTTGTTAGTTTTGTTGCCGAATAAAAAAATAATTGTAACTAATTGTAATGTATTAGAATAAATTATATACATAGCATTTTCAAAAGTTGCGATACAAATTAAATTTATTTTGTCGCCAACAAATTAAGAAATTTTCATTGAACGCAAGTTTAAATTTTAAATATTTTTGGCATATCAATGTAAAAGACTTTATTTCTAGTATATATGCGGGGTGGTGTATCTACTAATTTCTTACCAAAATTGTATTACGTATTTATGTATTTTGTTAGTGACTTTGCTCATTGTTTTGGTACAAAAAGATTACAGTTAAAATTAAGAAAAGATTAAGTTAAATAAATAAGAAAAGAGTTAATTACATATAAATCAAAAAGTGAACTTAAAATTAAATTCCTGATATTTCTAGATATTTCCAAAAATATTGTATTATTGTAAGGATCGCGATTGATCTTATATTGTTGTTCATTAAATAATTAAAATACTATTGTTTATTATTTATTATTATTAATAGTAAACTACCTAAGTTACTATTTTGTTAGTGATATTGAAGTATATTATGAAATTATTTTAAATAACTCACGCTTTAATGCTTCCTCAATATGAAATGTGTTGTTATCACAAAAGGTAAATCAAGAATTCGAAAACACACTAGAAATTGATCAAGTTGTCTGAATGCTCTGAATTTGACAAGTGGACCGGCGATTCGAACTGAACTGGCAATTTCAGCAATCTCGACCCGTTATATATTAACTCCTATATTAGTGCACACATTAACTTGTATACATAGTACATCAGTGTTTTCGTATATAAATGTATGTACTGGATTATGACACTTACAAATAAATGTTTTGAATTACAAAACCAAGATCAACTTCTTTGAAGCAGTCGATTCGCGTCGTGTCGTGTCGTGCCATGTCAAGGTTCAAATTCTATCATGCAGAAATTTGATTTGTTTTTATCACATTTCCCTGGTATTTATTCATAAACATTGAATCCAACATTAATTGTATTCATTCGTAATCTGCCAATATGCCAATAAATCTGCTATACATAATATGATAAATGGGTCTTTTCGCTATTCCTTGAATTAATTAGACCGAAGCTGCTTTTTCACATACGTATTATCTGTATAAGCGAACAATAATAAAAATAATTCGCATCATAATATTCTGCCTGATGTTGATTAACAATAAACTGACAGGGTATTTTCTACTAATTGTTTTTGACAATTTACAGGGCCGATCCTACCCTGAATTGAATGCAATAGAATATATTATCTTTTTTCTAAATATTTAATATATAGAATACTTATTGAATAGTAATTAAAAATTAACGTAATTTTTCATGTAATTTTAATTACAAACTGTAAAAACAGTTAAAAAAATCGAGGGGGGGGTGGCGCTAGGGAAAAAATGGCATGCGATCGCTTAAGACCTAAGCACCGGACAATATAGCATAATTAACTTAAGTTAAATCAAATGAGATTTTATGAATAAGATCAATAAAAAATATATGAATGTTTAAGAAATTTATTTGAAATCTATACGTTTCATGAAGTAATAGTGTTTTTCTTTTTTGCAATATAATAAGGATACCAAGAAATAGTAATAATTTTATAATTCACTAAATGAAGGCTAGTATATTAGCCGAATGAATTTCTAAAACATTCTTTTTTTCTTATTGTTAGTGTAACGCTTGGTATTTAAACTTAACTATATATATATATATATACAGGGCCGGTCCTGAGGTCCTCAGCGCCCGCATGCTATTATTTTTCTAGCGCCCCCTCCTCTCCTATTATTTTAACTGTTTTAACAGTTCATCATTAAAATTATACAAAAATGGTACTTCATGTTGGATTATTTTAATTTAATTTTTCATTATTTAAAATATCCAAAAACTACATTGTAAACTTCTCCTGATTGATATCGTAAGAGACGAATTGTATGTAAGCATCTTTACTTTCCCATTTGTTGTTTTAAAGTGAAATTTTTAACGTATTTTAAAAATATTGTCCATAGTAAAAGTGTTAGTAAAAGATTAAGGAAAGTATATATTTCTTGAATAATATTGAAAAAACTATATTATAAATTCCATATCCTAATCTCGTTTTTGGCGCCCCCTAAGGCGTGCGTCCGCATTTTTTGCATGCATTTCACTCAAGGTAGGACCGGCCCTATATATACATATATATATATATATATATATATATATATATATGATTTCAATGTTTATATGATATAGATATTAGTTAAGTTTGAAAATCTGGCGTTACATCAATAAAACATTGTCTGACTCCGCCTTTAGCCAACTGATTTATATTATATTGTTTTCTAATCGCCATAAAAAATATGTTACATCAAATTCCCGTACGAACGGATATAATAAAAAATTTTATTGAGGAAACATTGATTTGATGCTTAAAATATTTGATAAAAAATCTAGTTATATAATTTTGATATATTTTCTTAATAACTCAGAAACGGCTTAGCAAACCTTTTTGAATATACTTCAAAATAATTTAACGTTTTCCAGTTTTTGAGCTCAATATATAGTAGTTTATATAATTATAACAAATAAGCAAAATATAAATTATACGGTTGTATGATCTAAAAAATATTTATCGTATTTAACGACGGAAATATGGAAGGACTCCGAAATATATATATTCTATAAATTGTAATAGCTAAAATAAATTTAAAATTTTGCTAACATATAAATTGTGGCTCAACGCATAAATGCATATATTATGATTTCAAATACTATCATAATATCATCAACACAAAAGTTCAAAAGATCATTCAGAGAATTCATGTAAAAAATTAATAATAACTAAATAAGATAAATAAACATCAGTCTAGAATTTTGAACGCGTATGTAAAATTCTGACTAATCTAGGCATTATTGAATTTTCTTCTAAAAACATTATGTAATTTCGGAAAATGATAATATATCTACTGCTCATTATATATAATACGAAGAAAAAATGATAAAAAGATATTTTAAGACAATTCTGTAGAAACATTGATATAAATTGTGTTAAAATTGCAAAATTAATATATTTCTGGGACAATGAGGATAACTGTTTCTAAGTATTGAAAGATTTTGTAAAGCCAGTTATAATTTAAAAATAAGTAAATCTAAATTATTCAAGATAAATTAGAATTTATATATACATAAATTCTAATTCTTATACATACCAAATTTCACACGTTTCGTTATATGGAAAAGAACCGCTACAGCCACAAATACCTATTATTGTGTCTTCAACAGTATTCCTCGATTCAAAGTGTGTAATAATTAATGCAATTTCTCAGGTCAGTTTCTCCCAAACTCGCAGAACCTGAAAAGGATAGCTTTCTATAATAAATATTATATAATATTAATCTACTGTAGAATAATGTCGCAATCGTATGAACTAAGCGCAAGTTAAAAAGTGTTTTTCCACACAAATATCACACGGCTGTCTGAATAAAAACTAGTTGCGTATGGCATCGTGCCTTAAGGCAAATTGCTGGAACTTTCCGTACCGTAACGAAATGTTCGAGAAATATTAAATGTTTTGAAATAGATTATTATAAATTCTATAACATTGTCTAATAGTTATAAAAATTATATAAACTGAATTGCAAAGTTAAAATTATTTATTTAAAGTATATAAGTGAGCTTTAGAACCTTAGCCAAAATAAAATTAAAATCTAAAATATTTTCGATATACAAAAAAAAATCTAAAAAGAAATTTTGAAAAAAAAAATTGAAATACATTTTTTTCTAAAAGCAATTATATGTCAAAACAAGCAGAAAGTTTTTTGAATCATAGGATGCTAAGTTCTCTCAAAAACTGCAATTTTTTCACAATTATCTCGGTATCTCCAAAACGGCTGGACTTGCCTTTGCCAAAAATTAAACACAACTTCTCCCAATCATTACAAATTGAATGTTTTTTGGATCATTCAAATCGGATAATCGGTTCTCTCAAAACCTCGATTTCTATTTTCTGCACTCTTTGCTCCGTATCTCTGTAACGGCCGGACCTACCTTTTCCAAAAACTAATTAGCACATCTCCCTATGAATAGAAATCGAATGCTTTTTGAACCATTCAAATCGGTTGATTCGTGCGCCCGAAAACGTGAACGAAAAAATGCGGACACACAAAACACACACACACACTTCTATTTTTTCTAAGGTATGCCAAAATGTTCAGAAACCTTCAAAACGTGAAGATATGCAAAAAATTTATTTTCGCTTTTCGGCTCATTACTGTAACTACCCTACGGGAAGTTAAAAATTGCAACTTTTTTAATACCCTCGACTATTTTAAAAATATGAATTTGAGTTAAAAAATTCAAGTAAATTGGTCCAGTAGAAATTGACAACTTGTGGCATAGTTTAAAAAAAAACGCGTTTGAATTATGCAAAGGAAGAAAACAGGAAAGCTATATCTCTAAAAATAATTTAAATTTAAAAAAAATCTTGAATAGTTCAACTTCGAAAATATCAAAATTTTAGATTTTTTTAAAATTCTAGACCCTTAAATGAAGATTTTAAAATATCGACATTACTATCCGAGTATCTGATTCTTTCAATGCATTGTAGCTTATAGAAATCAAGCTTTTCCGAAAATGAAATGAAACTAATATTCAGCAAATTAGCACATCAAATTCAATGCTTTTTAAGTAGAACAGAGAAGTATTATCAACGTTAAAATAAACCAATGTAGCAGTTTTTAATAGTATTGCAAAAACGGCAACAGTTTATCATAATGAAAATGCAGTATGAAATTCGAAATTTTATTTATAATGTTGGTGTTCAATCAGATATGATAATATACAACTAACTTCAGTAGAAATACCGATGTCACACGTATTTTTCAAAAATAATATAAAAGTTAAATTTTTAATTAATTTAATTACTAAAAGATAAAGTTGTTAATTAACATGGATTGTAATGAAACCTCGCTCAAATCACCGACTCGAGTAGCAATCAATGACAAGGTTCGACTATTTTCTCTAAAACTTTAATAGCATTACCCGGAAAATAAATGAATTCTATAAAAAACATATTCGCAATTCACCGGGGTTATAAAATTAATAATTGTCATATGGGAATTTTTTCAAAATTAAACGTTTCAGAATCATTGATTTAAGTATAAATTTTAACCGAAATTAATCAGATTCAAGTATTAGTATATCTTATTTGAAATTTTACAAATTAAAGGAGGATAAAAAAAAGTCAGTAGAGCGTTTTTTCGAAACCGTAATGAATACCTGAGCCGTCGTCCTGCCGATGGAAATTGTGACCAAGATGCGCATCAGTTGAACCAATGTCGCGAGTTAACACAGATTAGCAACAACTTAGAAATTGCTAGAGAAAATTTTCGCTCAATTATCGAAAATTACGCGTCAGATAGAAAAGGTAAAAAACTTTCGTATTTTATTTTCACTTGCTAAAATTACATTTATTTATACACAATAATATATTATTGTAATAGTATACATATATACTATTAATTCCAAAAAATCTAAAATTATACCAATATAATATACGATCAGTAATTAATAGGCTCGCACCGAATATTCGGTATTCGGCATATTCGGCACCTTTTTTAATACTCGGCCGAAAACCAAATAGTTACAATCAAAGGCGCCGCCGCCGCCTCTCAGCGTCAGCATTGTTAATGCTTTTTGTTTTATGCGATTTATCGCGATGGGTCTGTCTTTGGAAGTGTTTAGTTTACATAATATGATATGAAAAATTGATTTCGTTATTGTATATATAATAATTTAATATAAACCATTAAATGGTTACACGCATGTGTTGTATCAATACAATAAAGTCAACTATATATTCAATCTAAGCATTTCCAAATAAAGAGCTATTATTGGCTCTTGGCTCTTTATCGCAAAATATACAAACAATATTTTTGATAATTTTTTATTTATTTTATTATGATTAGCATTCCTAATATATAAGAAATAATATTGAGTTTATAAAAGAAAATATTAAATGTTTATGAAAGAAATAATTAGAAATACATTCACATATATGTAGTGAATCGCTTTTTTAATTGAAATACGCATTATTGATCTATATTTAGTGAAAGCGAAAATTTAACTTTCTAAATAGCATTTAAACCTTTTATAAATAGCTGAATCTCAATTTTTATTGATTAAGTTTATTATGTTTGCGTTAATGTTCGAGAAGTTAATGCAAGTTTCCTTAAGGCAAAATGCTACTTACATCTACTTTGATTTATTCAGTCATGACAGACGACTTAAGTTGCCTGCAGGCACGCATAGAAAATCTTCAAGATGAGTGGCAAGCCCAGCAGGAACACATGGGCCGTATGCAGGCCGAAATGTACAAACTAAGAAGGTACATTTCAAATTATAATTTGCTTTTTAATTAGCCATATTTTATACCAAGACATTTTTGGATATGATTCATTTCGACGTTACTTTGTACATATTTCATCTATGTTATTCGTGAGAGATTGTAACAGATTGTTTTTATTATTTTATTACACAGTTAAAATAACATGCAATTATTCTGAATTACCAATCAACCAGACACCTAAATAGTAACTAAAATTTTATATTCTTAAAAATTGAAACAGCATTTTCAAACGAGTATTAAAAGAATTTGAATTCAAGCATATTTCAAGTAATTAAAGATAATTAATCAATGCAGTTTATTTACTATAATAAATATAATGTATTATTTTCTAGACAATTATCGCACCAGAGCTCTTTTTGCGCATCACTAGGAGCCGTTTTAGGACAATTGGTATGGAAAGCTTCACAAGTGGCAATAGTAGTCGAAAAAATGCTTGCAGGGGTAATAAAAAAAATATTAAAAGAAAAGCGATATATTGGCTTTAATAATTACTACATTAATATATATATATATATATATATATATATATATATATATACTTTGTGTTGCAAAACCTCAATATCTTTGAGCAAACAAAATGTTATAGCATATGATTTAACATTTTGACGATTATTTCAACTGATTTCAGAACAAAGTAGGTGATTTTTTCTGCATTGTTGAGGGTACCTTAGCATCATTTCTCGAAACGTACAAAGGGTCCATGCCTGGTCCAGAGTCAGACGAGCGACAGTTTCTTTTATCCATGTGCGGAGTGATCACTAATATAGCCGCTGTACCTCAGGGAAGAGAATTCCTATGCGCCAGTCCAAATGGATTGACCTTAATACAAGCTATTTTAAAAGCTATACCAGCCGTCCCGTTACCTAGCGGAAGAGAACTTAAAAGGTTATATAAATTTAATTATTGTTTAATATATCTACACTTTTATTACACCTTAGGTATTTGTTTCATATGTTAAATTGTTTTCTAAATATTGAACTTCACAGGGATAATTCTGTATAATAATATAATTTAGTTAAAATCTTATTCACTGTATAAAAGCAGAAGATGGTTTTCTTAAGCAAGCTTACTCTCAACTAAATGCTTTGCAAAACTTTGGGTCTTTTACGAAAGAACAGATTATCGCATTTGAATGATCTTACACATGACCCTATTTGTTTTTGGGAAAGCCGGCCAATCACTTTGGTTTAGGTTTATTAGTAATAATCTTCCAATTGTGCAATAAAAATAGTTATGATATCGTAAACCATCTAAATCATATTTAATATTCCACTAAAATGATGAATAAAACAAGTTTCAAATAAACATCATATACGTAATCAAACAAAATCATTAAAAATTAAAAAAAAAGAATGTATTTAATTGTGTAGATCACATGCAATTGCTAACATTATTACATAAACTGTATATCAAATAATAAAAAAGTTGTAAACTGATTTACAGAAAATGCTGCTTCCATCCAAGTTACATTATAACATTAACATATAAAGATTATAAAAATAAAAGTACTTTGGAAAATAAAAATAAATATATATATATATATCTGTAAATACTAAATTCCTTATTTTATTATCACAATGTTCATGACCAAAGTATTTTTATTTTCAATATCAATAATTTAATATGTCCAATTTCTCAAAATTAATTTTTTTTTGGCTAATCTAATAAAGATGCTATAAAGATGAATGCTTAATATTAGAATATTAAATAAATATGGCAACAGATATGAAACAGATTAACATTATTTCATTTGTAATTAGGCTATTGATAATGGTGCTGTACAACATCAGCATCAATAAAACCGGACAAGCAATAATGCAAAGTCCAGGAGCACTGATACCAATAACAGACTGTCTCGGAGCTGCCGCACCTCCAGATCTCACATTAAATGCTCTCCGAGTCCTGCAAAGTGTCACATATCAAATACCATCACTTGAAGTTATGCATTCAATAACGTCACAGGTAAATGTCTTTTGATCAGAATTTGACTAGCCATTAAGGTAAAATTGAATTTATAAGCATTTTTTTATATCTTCGTATTCCATAGAGGATGGATGATCAACCATTTAGCAATGTAGTCTTCATATTTAGTTTTTCAGTCAGTAATCTACTATGTACGGAAATATATTATAATTGTATTCTTGAAATTGAGAAATAGTATATTAACCAGTCTTCGTTACATCTTGGGAATCAAACCTAAAACAAAAATTATGAATGTGAAAAAACTTCATTGAAAAAAAATGTGTGAAAAGACAAATCCCATCTATCGTCTTCTTTTTTTTTCAAAAATTGTAATTAACAATATTTCACAAAGTCATCTTTTTGTAAATTCAAAAGCCGTTAAATAGTAAAATGTATTTATAGGTATTTTATTGAAACTATGTACCTAAAGAAGTGAAGGCTCAAAATAATTTGAGAAAAATAATATACAATGATTGTTCAATATTAACACAATCTTGAAAGTGGTTAGTAGATGATATTACAATTATGGATATTTTAACAATGTATAATAATCTTAAATGATTGTATTTGGTAGATAGTTACATGATAAAAAATGCTAAAAACGTAAAAAACGTCAACCTTAATATAAATACAAAACTAAATTATTTGTTTTTACATTTTAAATATGAGTTTGTTTCAGATACATATGGAAGATATTCGGGATTTAGCTCGTTCTGAAGATATTCAAACACGGGATCAAGCTACGGCAATCATTAATAATATTCGCAAAGCAAATGACGAATTTCAATCGCAAGCACCTTCAAAAAGTGCGGGAATCGTACCTTTCTACTGTACTAAAACATGTAATTAATTTTCAATTTTTACTATTTTAATTTATTATTTTTAACTTAATAATCTTTCTTCTTTCAAATAAGATTTAATTTCATTCTGCACTTGTTAATTTAGTTTCAACAATTTCATTCTTCAATTTAGGGTAATGCTTCAAAATGTAAGATTAAATAAACTACAGTATTACAAAAAAAATATTTCATTTAATGTTACTATATGAAGAAAGTGATTACATATTGTATAAAAAAATTATTGCTAATGGCAAGAAAAAGGCAAATTATGATTTTGCCATTAAATATTTCCTATTGCTTATTAAATTTTAGATATTGTGACATTTTTTTTCTAGTTATAAACTTTCAAAGTTAAGGTTGAAACAACCAATTGTTTGCAAATAATAATGCCATGACAGGGTTTAATATCATTATATTATAAACTTCCCAGTGGAAAAGACTGTCTTCACTAAACCAATTTTCTAATTTTCATTATGAATCGTTTGTTCCGCACCAGAATAGAAAAAGTTTGTGTGTGTGTGTGTATATATATGATCAATAATTTTGTCTTTAATATGATAATGAATTACTTTTGTCAATGTTTTCAAACAAATCTTTAAATACTGATGTAAAAAATAAAAATTCGTTTAAAAGATATCAAATGAAAATCGTCATTATTAGTTTTTAGTAAACTTTCCTCTTTGCAAATTTTTTACACATACGATAATAAAGTTGAATATTAAAATCATTAAAACATTATTGGACTATTTAACAATTAATAGAGTACTTGTAATCATTAAGCTTGTCCTGTCACACAGTCAAATTTAAATTGTTCATTATTCTTAGGTTGTATATATTATAACCAAACATTTAATATTAACCAATGTAATAGATCTTAAGGATAGCACTTTTATTTTAACTATATTTGTATTTTATTTATTACAAATAAATTATTTCTTTTTAAATAAGTATTTTGCTATTTTATTTAAATCATAAATAGAGTGTCATTTGCAATACATAGTATGATTACAATACATTTGTAAAACAAAATATTCAAGAAATAAATCTTATTTTGGGAAACAAGTAGAACATACCTCCTACCTCCTATGAACTAGGATAAATAAGTTCGTATTTAACACTCTGCTTTCCATTAAGTAATTCCTGGACAATCTCCCAAGGTTTCTTCTTGATACTAACAACTATCTGCCTGTTAGATCCATTGCCATAACTATGAGATTTCAAACCAAATTTTTGAGCCACCCTAGATATAAAAGTGAATTCTAAATTTAAAAAATTATTGAGCATTTGATAAGAATTTCTTGATTAAAAGTTGTACAAAAGACAGATTCATTATCGGTATATAAAACATATAAAATAATGCTGGTTGTATAATTATTTCATGATTCATATAAAATCTGACAAAATTATATTAGGGGACCAGCGCTCTTAATTTACAGGTTCAGGCGATATGGAGCAAAGAGTGCAGAGAATGGAAATTAAGTTTGAGAGAACGGAACATCTGATTTGAATGTTTCAAAAAGCATTCAACTTGTATTGACAAAATGAAGAATTGATTAAATTTTTGCAAAGGCAGTTCCAGCAGTTTCAAAGGTTCATTTAAGCTTGAGTTAAAAAAAGAGCCAACCGATATAAATGAGTAACAAAAACTTTCAAGAAATTTCAAATTTTATAATTTTCAAAAACAATTTAGTTTGAAAAAAAATTTCTAACTTTTAAAAAATATTTCTTTCTAGTTTTTAAAATTTTCAAAAATGTTCAAAAACATTCAAAATCCTCAAATGTAATCTAATCTTTCTTTTCGAAGCTTGTAAAAAATTTAAATTATGAAGGGAAGTACCAGTAATTTGCCTTAAAGCGCAATGCTATGCATCTCTAGTTTATAATAGCCATGAATTAATTGAACAAAAAATAATCAAAAGTTAAACAACTAAAAGACAGTTAATTTAAAATAATTTTTATATAATTATCACTTACTTATGCATTTGCTCCCTTTGTTCTTTATTGAACTTGGAGCTAAAAACTAAATCATAATCAAAATCATGACATTCTTGAATAAAGTCTATATAAATTTGTTCAATTTTGGTTTCAAAATTATCACTTTTGTCAGCATATCCAAAACCCTTTCTTTCACTTTGAATGAAAGGACTGTAAATATCAAGAAAAATAAATTAATATGATTTCTGATGCAAAAGTTTTATGAAGCAAAAATATATACTTTATAGGATCCGAAATGCCTTGCTGTTCTTTACCCAAGCCACCGCCCAACCATCCCATCATTTTCAACAGCTTAGTCCCAATATTATCATTTTGTATTGTTTTTGTTGCAGTATTAGTGCAGCCTAATACTTCTGATACATCAATTACCCTTTCTGAATAAAATGCTTGTTTCACCTAAAATTTTAGAATTATTTTCTTAATTTGAAATATTATTTAGGTATATGTTTTAGATCCATAATTTGATGGTTATTCACCATCTTGTAAATATTTGAATTTGCAATACAATACAAGAGGTGTAATAAATTATAAATTAATTATTATTATCAATGAACATTTAATTTTGAAATTTTTGTTCAGTTGTAGATTATTTTGACAAAAAAAGTTCATTATAAACTTTTAGGCTTATCATATAATAGCAATTATAAAATATATAATTTAAAACTAGATAAAAACATTTCAGTTTATATATCAATCCATATGTTACATACAATTATAAAATTATTATGTATTAATATTACCTAACTAAATATGGAACACGTTTGAAATGTTAAAAGTGATCTCACTGACTGCTAATATATGACAGATCAAAAAAGTGACTGTTCCAGGCGATTTTAAAATATATAAAGATTATGTTAAAATTACCTTGAGAGTGTAACAAGTTTTCTGTAAAATATGGAAAGCTTTTTTACTTGCCATTTCTTTGGCAGTTTTTAAGCAATCTGCTACAGCTTGCTCGATCAAAACTTTATTTAAATACAAGGATCTGCAATATAAATTTATAACTATTAAATTGAATATTCCGACTGTTGTAAGATAATATATTATAAAATACTTGCATTTCCATTTTATTTCCATATGTTCTTTTAGATTCAAAAATCATTTTCTCATTAGTGTATGAAACCGATTCAAATAACATTGTACAATAGTTCGATAAATTATTTGATCTCAAAATTAATACAAGTGGTTGGGTTGAATTTTTTTCACTAGATCTATTCAAATTTGTGTTAGGTCTATTCACTTTACTAGTAAGTTCTCTGTTATTGCTCGCATAAAACTCCTGTAATATACAAATAAATGCATCCAGACTTCACATATACATATATGTATATATATATATATATATATATATATATATATATATATTATATATATATATATATATATATATATATATATATATATATATATATAGATTGGTCCTTAATATTGAATTTTCGAATTTCCTTGCTCCCAAGGGCTCAAATGGTTCCAAATTGATAAAAAACAATTCTCTGAAAGTTTTGTATGGGAATAGCATAAAAAAATTTTCATACATTTTGCAGAACGTCGAATTTTCACTTTTAATTCATTTGTCGCTAAGTTATACATAAAATTTTTTTTTTTCAATTTTCAAAACTTTTTCCATGCTATTTCACTACGAAGTTTGATTGAATTGCGCTCTATCTACAAGTTAATATTAAGAGCTAAAACTTTCAGAGAATTGTTAAGATTTGTTTAAAATATTTCACATGTTTTAATACTGTGTCAAGCTTGCAAGTGATAGATGGTATTTTTTGTATTATCAAAAATTAAATGTAATTTAAATAAAATATTAAAGAATGTGTAATATATAAGTAAATGTTTTTGAAATTACACTGAAGATGAGGCATACCATGGTCTCGAAACGTCTGTGATTACTAAATAAAGTGTGTGTGTCTTTTTGTACACGGTTTTGATATAACACGGTTTGAAAATTGAATATTTTTAAATTTTTTACACGAATTTATTCCATTTAGCACGATTTGAAATTTTATGTACCTAAATTTTTTTTGTCAAATTAAATTTTTGCGAAGTATGTTCATATCACAAAAAAGTATTTATGAAAGAAAAAAGTCTGAAACCATCGATAGTATCGATAATTTGCAAACACTAGCTTAAAGATTTAAGTGAATTCCCCTTTAGCGCATACAAACAATTTTTACTGGTCAAAGCAAATGTGAATAGCACTAATTTAATTCTTGTTCTTAAAAATTCTTGTTTTTCACCAATTTTAATAGGTTTTAGAGATTAGGAACAAATCACCCATTTTTGTATAAGATCAATGTCTTTTTTTACACGTTTTTTTTTTACACGGATTCTTCTGGAACCAATCTCCGTGTAAAAACAGACTTAGGTGTATATATATATATATAATCCGTAACTAAAAAAATCTAAATAAGAATTGATCATAAATCTATAATAAAAAAAAAGTTATATAGTAATATATAAAATGTCTCAGAGTATTGTCAATTTATATAAACATTAAAAGTATCAGTTTTATAAAGAACATAAAAAACTTACCTTCAATTTTTCTAATATATATTTCTTTAACTCGACTAAAGCTTTAGACAAAGTGTCATCTTTGGCCTCTCTTCTTGTAAAACCAACACCATGCACAGTGATATCACCCAATAAACATTGGAACCCATATGGCCTGTATAAGAAAACAAATATAGTGATTCAATTATAAGTCCTAATTCATATTAAGCTATGGTAATCTTAAGTTACATTTTGTTATCTATTGGTTCTTCTTCTGTAAAAGAATATGGCAATTTAATACATTGGGTAATTTCCTGTAATTTTGCAGTTTCTTCCCCATACATATCAAATAATGGTAAAGCATTCCGAAGATCGTTAATACGAGAATTCTCCATGGGTGTAGTTATTTTTTTAGACCTTGTAGTATTATCATGTTTATTAATATGTCTAGATTTCATACTGCTGCTATTAGATACTTTTTCTATCTGCTTCAAATATAATCGTTTTTGATTAATAATATCAGGTCGAATCTGCAATAAAATCATTTATTGATTCCAGTCAGAAGTAACTATTTAACATTTTATTAATAACATACAGCAGAAATACAATTTTTTTATAAAAACCAATAACATTAAATTCACAAATCATTTTAACTGATTCATAAATAAAGCTACTCAAAATGTTTAATCAAAAAACTTTTGAAAAACGTTTTGAATCAATAATTATCAACAACTTAGAAATATAAATAAAACAATCAAACTTACTTTTAGTTTACTTGATAAGCTTCTATGAAGTTCATTCAAAGCTATTTCAACTGAAGCAGTTTTGGCTAGTTTTTTTGTAAGACCAACCCCATATATAATAATATCACCAAGAAAACATTTACACTTCCATTCACTATAAAAAATAAATTTATCTCTCTTTATCTTTATCTTATTTTATTCTAAAACATGCTACTATATTAAATGATAATTACCACTTTATATCATTGATTGGCTCAAATTCATATTTATATGAGATTTTAATAAGTTGCGTGATTTTATGCAATTTAGTTGACACTTCATCCACATTTTTATCAATTATACTTATCGCTTCTTGAAGCTTGCTTTCACTAGTACATTCAATGTCAATAAGAAGAGATGTGTCACCATCAGTGCCAAAATCATTTACAAAGTTAATATGTTGGTTGTCACTTTTGTTTCTATTTTCTTTAGGAGCAGAAGTTAGTAGATTACTACAAGCCGATTGGTTTGATGTGATCATATTTGGTTGAATATTTTCTTCAATCGATCGATTTTGAGAACAAATCTAGAAAGCAATGTGCATTTTATAAAAAGTAGTAAAAAATAAAAAATCTGAATATAAACTCACATTCAATTTATATAATACACTTCTTCTTAATTGTATTAAAGCTTGTTCTGTTGCACCACTCTTAGATAATTTCTTTGTAGATCCAACACCTTGTACAATTAACCCATTTAAAGAACAACGACATATCCACTGCCTAAAATAATTTATTAAAAAAGAATTAAAATTAATTCAAGATTCATAATTCAAATAAACAATAGTAAAATTCTGTACTAAGACCTTACTTATGTAATATAGCAATAAAAATATGCTTATAATTTTAATTAGTAATGTAGTGTAGTATGATTCATTTTTTATTAAATTTGATTAAACAGAAATAAAATACAGTTATAAGATACTAAGTATATAATGAAATTTTTATACTATTTTTAGGCAATTACTTCAGAAGTTTGTAGTACAACAAATTGTAAGAAATATTATATAAATATTTAGATAAGTTCATTGAAAGCAAAAAATGCAAAGCACTCCAATTAACTTATGTTATATTTACATTATCATCTTAAATAAAGTTTATTTTGCAAATTAAAATGATTAAAATATAAAAACTCACTTTTTATCAAGCGACGTTTCAAACTCGAACTTACACATCACTTTAAGAAGTTGTGTTATTTCATGTAATTTGTCTCCTCCTTCTTGTTTTGTATCAATTTTTGTTAATGCTTCTTGTAAAATTTTTGAAGCAATAATTGGTATTTTAACCAGTTCATTTTCATTTATTTCCCGCTCATTGCTTTCTTCATTCTTGAAATCAAAATGTTTATCAATAGTATTTTGCATTGAAGTCTTGCCAAGTATAGGTTCATTTTGAGAAATTTCTGATTCAATATACTCCATTTCAAAAGTGTCGTCATCTGCCATACATTCACTGCCATTATTCCAACCAAATGAACCCTATAATAAAATATGAAATAATCAAACTATTCAATAAAGAGTTGAAATGCATTGATGGACTGAAATGGTAAACTGCAAATTTACTAATTATGAATCAAGTTTCTCTTGAGACAAATTACTATTTAAAATATATTATTATGAAATGTTTTCAATCACATAGTACCTTAACAACAATAAGAAATATTGATAATTTTAAATGTAAGAAAAACTTACACTTGTATCGCTTAATATTTTTTTCTTCAGCTCTATTAAAGCTTTGCTAATGGCAATATTCTTCGCTTGCTTTTTATTGTTGCCCATGCTCTGCATAGTTATATTACCTAAATGACATGTACATTGCCATTGCCTAAAACAAACGATCATTACATTCGTCAGATTGAAAACATAATATTGTATTTAAACATTATTTACACAGAACTAGATCCACTTGATTTGCATTCATACTCAAATTTTGGTATAAGTTTCATACAAGATGCTACAGCTTGTAACTTTGAAACATCATCTTGGTTCTCATTTAGAATTTTTAAAATTGACAGATTATCAGTATCATTAGAAGTTGTACTTATGTGGTGGTTTCCTGCTACATTACCAGCAAATTCTTCTCTAATAGTTTGCATCATATTATTATTATAATTTATTGGTTCATCAAAACTATTTTCGTGGTCTAATGATAAATTGTCAAAGGCTTGAACATTGCTCACTTCTTCCTCAGTGAACACTTCTGCATCAAAATCTTCCATAAAATACTCATATTCATCGTCTTCTCTGGTTTGATAATCGCAACTACGATATGCTTTTTTTGCAGAAACGAATTGAACTGGTGATAATCCACAATTCTTTGTTTTCATACCATGATCACCTGAAATACAAGTTTTAATATTGGCTAAACTCCCAATAAAAATTGCAATTTATACCTCAAACACTAAGCAGCAATAACAAAATTGATAAAATTAATCATGGCCTCATAATACTATTCTCACACTAACACAGTGAAAACGGTGATCACAAATTTATATGAAAATACAATTTACTTTTGAATTACTGATATATATTCAAATATATCTTCATAAATTTGCACCTGCTATTACCTAAGAAAATTCAAGCACTTGTAATTTTATGAAGCATTTATTAGATAATTTGGAACCACTAACAACCTGTTCCAGAATGAACTCTATTACAAAAATAATATGTAGTTTGAAATATTAAGATATCACTATTCATCCATATTTATTTTATTAATTTATATTTTTTTAATTATTTTAACTATTTAACTTTTAAGAAGACTTCAAAATAAAAAACATTTATTTCACAAATTTATAAAATTCGAAGATTCTTGTAACTATGTTATGCTAAAGGTCTTCAAATTTGATCGTTACTGAATAAGAGATCGTAATCAAATATAATATTTATTAAATATAAGGTAAATTTACTAGCAATATAACCCATATATGCTGCATGAAAACAAAAATAATTCAAACACACAATTTTTTATTTTAAATAAATACATTGACTACTGTTTGGTATGAAATGTATTATGGTAAAATAGTTAAATACACATTTACGATAATATATATTTGAGGCGTTATAAATTCAATATATTAATTGTAAGAAAACTTATTCTTTGATATCTTTTTCCATAAAGTGTTGTAACAAAATTGAGTTTCATGTATTATATAGAAAATGAAACACTAATCAGATAAAAACATAAATCAGGGTTAAGCATAGACCATGAATTAAAAGTTTATACAAATAATTAAATAATAGACAATACAACAAATTTCTTTGAACAAAGGTAGATTAAATAAAACGTACATAGCTAATTTTATGATTTGTATGTATGTATGTATATATATATATATATATATATATATATATATAATAAATAAACTAATCTATACAACTGATTTTATGATAAAATTAGATAAACTATACCTACATATCTATATCACATATTCGTGAAATATTATAGTAATAGTACATGAATCATTGAAATTACTATACTAATCTATTTATTTTGTATAAAAATAACATTTGTCATAAGAACAGTTATGAATCATTAATATATAAATAAAGAACATTAGCTCAGGATTCATACTATCTATCGTCTACCTTTTGCTCTGGCCTCAGCAACATCAGAAGCTCCAACCATCGTCCTTTGTAATTTTCCCTTTTGTTCTTCTCTGAAATCATGGGCTACTTCCCTTGATAATTCTGCAATAAGCTCCATTGCTTTATCTGGATATCTATAAAACCAATAAATACAAAAATTATACATAGTGATTATAGATTACACACATACAATAAATTTACGAATGCTTTTAATCTAAATCAACATAAAACCAATAAATACAATGATTATACATAGTGATTATAGATTACATGCAAACAATAATTTTACGAAAGGTTTTAACCTAAATCAAATACAATAAATAAACAACAGACAAAGTATACCTGCAGCCTAAGCATTCGATATTAATGAACAATTGAGCTAGAGACACAAGTCTTTCTTCTGAGTATTTCTCTTTATGTGCTTCCATAAATTTTTTACGTAAATTCCAATGGTTTTCAGGCTCAAATTCGCATCGATATTTTTCAACATCCCAATCAGCAATTCGTTTCGCCATTCTGTTATAATTTTAACTGCTTACCAAATTAAAAATAACCCTTTAAATCAAACTAATCATTCCCAATAGCACAAAACGATCCAACACAAAGTGTATTTATTTACTTAGGGTGGCAATAAATGCCGATTTAAATTATTGACGAACAAACTAGGTTGAAAATTAAATTAAAAGGATAATATCAAAAAATGTTGTTCTTTGTGTTATTTAGTTAAGTCTTTGGATTAGTGGCATTTAATAGATTCGCTTTTTTATATATATCCACAATTTCTATCAATTATTTTTTTCTACATTTTTGACAATTATTTTCAAATTTAACGAGTTATTTTATTCTGCACATTTCAATTAGTTTTTTGGGGACATCAGATTTTTCTGTCAAAAATAATTTTTTATTTAGATTAACAATGTTGATGATGATGATTAAAAAGTATTAAGAAGATGTACCAGAAGAAAGTAAAGAAAACAGAAAAAAGATATGAAGAATAATAGTAAAAAAATTCATATCAAATAATTGACTAAATATTCAATCAGTTGAATAAATAATCAACTCGAATTTATTGAACTTATATGAAGAAAATTGTAAAAGATGTCATTTCCATGTCAGGATATTCTTAATGGTACGTTTAATGGTAATTTTTATTTAACTTGATTGTATATAAAAAAAATTTACAGAAATTCTTTTACTGTCATGATGATTGATTTATATTCGAATTATATTAATACTCCAGTTAGGCATATAATTTTCATCATATTGCTACAATAGTTAAATATAACATCTAACTACTCTTGCATGGTGTGTTGTGGGTTTGGCTGCTTAGATATAGTAGTTGATGACTTACATTTGTTAAATTAAAATACTAAACTAGGAATAAGTACCGCTTTACCTTGAGGTAATAAGAATTAAGATTAAAACTTGCTTAATATAAATGCAACTTACACATCAAGTATTATATATACTGTAATATACATTATAGTATTGCAAATCAACCTAAAAATAATGTATATTCACAATATAAATTGTGCAATATTTAGTTAATATTTTTGATAATGCAGATCAGTATTAAAAAATATTGGAATGCAATGTTGGAAGTTAAGTTTGAGAGAGTTTATTAACCAATAATGATGACATAAATCACTTGTATTTGTATACTCATACATAAGATATATAAGATCAATCAAAGGGACAATTATATATATTATCAAAATTTATTAATTTTGTGAAAATAAAAATACTGAGAAAATAAATAAATTATATAACTTTTTATTTTATACAAATTCATAGTAACAAATGTTTGTTATTCTAAATGAAGAATGTGGAATATATAATTTTTCTATGGATGATCTTAACCATTAAATGTGTAATTTGACATTGTCTATTTCAGCTGAGATTGGAATTGTTTTGTAAATGAATATTTATACCAATTTGAAATAAATTGGCACAAAATACAACTTGCCAAACAAATTCATAAAGGATAATAAATATTTTGAGAACTCATTCACTCATTCTATATTTATGAGCCCACAAATTATATTATTGATTGGAATATGTATTAGTTTAACAAAGAAACCAATAAATCCCATAATGCAGAATCCAATGGCTGTGGCTATAGCAATTTTCTGGAACTCTTTACGATCAGGTTTGGTGCAACGTTTTACAAGCCGAATAGAGTCTTTGGCAAATTGTCTACCTGGCTCAATGAATTTTGTTACATGATCCATTTTCTGAAATTAGAAAAAATTCAACATAAACATGAGTAATATAAAAAAAGAAAATGATAGTTCAAATATATTTAAGATTATTTGAATTGCATATGCCACAATATAATTATATACTATTAAATTGTTCCTACTTGTGCTAATAAAATTTCACATTACACATAATTTACCTTAATTTATACACTTGCACTTGCACTAAAACTGTAAAAATTGTAATATATGTTTCTAATATGTAAGTTTCAGCACGATTTCTGTAACAACTGAAACTGCTTCAGCTTTAGAAAGTAGTTACCGCAATGTGAACTGTTATTTCTGACAAATACTACAAGACGTGTTCATAAGATCTGACACGTAGCGTATGACGCTTCAAAATGCTGGTGTTACCTGATTATTATATTATTTCCCTCCAGTGAGATAATTAACACTGGCATCACTAGCGATGTCGCTTTTTCTGAGGCACGTTTAGTACCAGAACTATGTTTACTTATCTATGTTTAGCACAGGAACAGCAGAATTTTAAATTTTTGATAGAACCCAGAAAACAACGTAATTTTCTTTTTTATAGTTTATGAATGTTAAAAACAATAGATTTGTCAGTAGAAAAATCATAAGTAAAAAAAGAATTTTTATTGTATTATTAAATACTTTAAAAATTAATCGTATTTTTAAATACTTTCAAAACAAAAATTTGAGATAGTTTTCAAAAAAAAACATAAACAAAATGTGTCTATTTTGGTATATAAGTAGGCATTGTGTCAGGATTCAAACGCTCAGAAATATTTACTGTATTTCAAGAATAAAAACATTTTTTTCAATATGGATGTTAGATATTTTTAATTTTTAAATAGCGTTATTATGCAGCCGTTTATTCATATTTCACCTACAGTTTAAATTTTTGTTATCCCATTTATCTATTCAATTTTTTTTAAATTTTTCGAAATTTGGTTTTTTTTTTGACAATTATGAAAAATTTCGATAATTTGAATTTTTTTGAAAATATCGATTTTTTTTGAAAACTTTCAAAATTACTAAATTTTCTGTATTTTTTTGATTTTTTTGCACACCTTCTACTCAAGCAAAATGTTTTTGAATTAATCTAATCGGATGATCCGTTTTCTCAAAAATTGCATAACCGTTTTTACACCCTTTGCGCTCCATTCCTCCGAAATGGCAAAATTGCCTTTTGCAAAAGCGCCACGCGATCGAGTACGAACCGAATTATTTATCAATTTTATAAATCGGTTATTTCATACTGTCGAAAAAAATTTCGATAATTTGAATTTTTTTGAAAATATCGATTTTTTTGAAAACTTTCAAAATTACTAAATTTTCTGTATTTTTTTGCACACCTTCTACTCAAGCAAAATTTTTTGATTAATTAATCGGATGATCCGTTTTCTCAAAAATTGCATAACCGTTACACCCTTTGCGCTCCATTCCTCCGAAATGGCAAAATTGCTTTTGCAAAAGCGCCACGCGATCGAGTACGAACCGAATTATTTATCAATTTTATAAATCGGTTATTTCATACTGTCGAAAATGACGAAGACATTTGTTTGAACCATATACATAAATTAAAATTAAAAATCTTGGTACAGAACCCAAAAAAGTTTACACAAAATTGGTACACATTATTAAAAGTTCTATAAAATATCTGATAATTTGATGTACATATGTTTAATAAAATTTTGACCCCTAAATAACATTTTTTAACTCATTTTTTTTTTGAGAGACCATAACCGCTGGACCTGCCTCCCCAAAAATTTATACATACATCCATTTTTTCTAAGGTATGCCAAAATATTCAAAAACCTTTGAAACTGTTCTGCGCAAGCATATATAGATGAGTATATAAAATCAAGGTTCAACTTGGTTTTAATTTGAAAACCATCATATGGCCATTATTTTTTACATTCCCGAATCTTTTGGAGCTGCCTCTAAAAAAAACAATATTTTTTAATGATTCGAAAATTGGTAGACACGTCTTGAAAACGTGGCAGTAAAATTGTATGCGAGAATATAAACTTTATTTTCTTTTCTTAGAACTTGAAGCTGATAATGATTTCCATTTTTATATCTTGTTCCATTTGCAAAACTTTTTCTTTAATGCTATTTAAATTACATAATAATTATAAATTTAACTAGCTGTAAGTGGTATTTTCACTTTTGCAATTTGTCTGATACATGTAAATTGAGATTTAACTATTTAGATAAATAAATTAACGGTTTATTTTAAATAATTAATGGGATATTCAATTAATATTCCATACCCAAACAAACCCATAATCTGTAAAGGCCTATAATCATTACTATACCTATAATATTTTAGTATGTTATTTTATATCATAAAATCTATTGTCATACAAAGTTTCATCAAAGAAGCTGCCAGACTAAACTTCTAGTGGTTTCTAAATTTTCAAAATTGGCTGAATTTTTTGATAAAAATTTTTGCAAAACTAGTCAATGATGGTTAAAATTTGTACAGCCGTTTTTAAGAAAACTTTGACAAAAGGTTCACAATACATTTTATTTCAAAGTTGACATCAAACAATTATAATCATTAGAATCATCCAGAAAAAACACTATTCATGAAATTAATTTAAAAACAGCTTGTTATGTCTTCAAAAAATTGATTATTAAAAATATTGAATACATTGCGTTTCAGTGATTTGTTTAACCACCTGCAATTGCACTTTATTATATTATTATTGAAGGCTGGTTTTCAAGTGTAAGATAATGGAAGTTATTTTGAAGTTTGAAGCAAACAGTTATTGTAAACTGAAATTACTGATTTGATTGATGATTCTTTGAATTGTGAGTATAATTTATTTTGTGATATTGTATATGTAATGCATGGAGTAATTTTATGAACTTACTTAAAACTAAAAATATCTGAATGCAATTTACTGATTACACAGAGATGTTGCAAATGAAAATAAAACTAATCAATAGTAAATTATAATAGAATTAAAAAACGAGAAAATACTTTTTACAAATTTTAATAGTTCAAATAAACAAGAAACAACAAAGCATACACAAAAGCTATCTAGGATGTGTACTTTAGTACATTGTTCTCTTACAAATCTAAAAATTAGAACTAATCTATGATATAAATAAAAAATAGGCAGCATACTTATACACAATGTATCTAATACAATATGTATTACTTCACGATTGTTGTCATATAAACTTCAATACCCAGAATTTTTTTTGCAGTTGTTCAAAATTACAAATTGTCTGCACAATCCATAGATCGGAGTGTTTTCGGAATGGCTCTTTTCCCACTTAGATTCCTTTACGTAAACACAACACAAAGCGTGTGGAGCAAAAGTTTTCGATAATACTGCATTATATTGAATATATCTGTTAATGTTCCAAATCATGTAGGTTGCAGTACATCACCACTTTCACCCTGCACACAAGGTTTGCAGCAAGCCAAAAACGGCTAACTGTGATCCAGTAAATTGGCAGTCAAGCTTTTTACAAAGAATTTTATTAGTAATATAAAGCTCATTTGATTCTGGGGCTTTAATAAACCAACTTTGACCTGAACAGTCCCTAAAGGTTCAGAATAATGCCTCACTCTTCAGATGTGCCATTGTTTGATTTCACTTACTATCAACTACTTGTACAATAAAAATCTTATGGTTAAAATTACATCTTAAAACCTAAAGAGATTTTGTGTCTTGAAGATATATTATCAATTTGAGCTCTTCTTATTCTACGAGTGGTTTCGGATTTTCCCATGCAAAGCCATCACGACCAAAGTGACCATATGTGCTAGTGCTTTGGTATATTGGGCTTCTCAAATTTAAGTCTCTGAAATTTGCATTAACACTAATTAAATAGTATTCTTAATGTAATGGATAATTGTTCATCCATGTACTTTCAGCATTGTTTTTATCATCATACTAACTCAAGAGTAGCAAATACATAACTAACATCATGTCTGGGAAAACTCCCTGATCCAAAAAAAAAAATGCCATTAGAATAAAAAACTATTGAATAAACTAAATTTATAGCTAGAAATTCTCTATTACCTTGCCTATTATTAATTGCATGATGTTTGAAGAAACATCAAACATGACAAATGATAATTGTTTATTAATTTGGGAAAATTAATTGATTAACATAAAACTTCTAAGTAGCATTTGATTTCAGACAAAAATAATAAGTAATAAATTTCTACTTACTTCACAATTTTGCCTGGCCTTAAATCAAAATTTTCTTGACAATTGCAAGTAGTTCACTTTGAGATTTGCTAGAAGTACCATAATCGAAAACAGTAATGGATAATGGTTCAGCCAGACCAATGGCATAAGCAACCTGTACTAAGCATCTTTTACATAAACCAGCTTTAACCAAAGACTTGGCAACCCATCTTGCAGCATAAGCAGCAGAACGATCAACTTTTGTAAAATCTTTACCAGAAAATGCTCCACCGCCATGAGCTCCCCAACCTCCATATGTATCAACAATAATCTTGCGACCAGTTAATCCAGCATCACTCTAAAAATAAAACAATTTTGAAGCAAAAAAAAAAAAAAAAAAAAATTGTAATGGAAGAAGTAAATGACTGTCAGGAATGTATAGTTCATCATGCCAAACTCAAGAGTAGCAAATACTTAATAAACATCATGTAAACAATATTGTATGTAACAAAGTAGTGGTGCATAACTATGCCAAATTTCGGACACAAGTGTTACTTTTTAAAATTTAATAAAAATAGATATGCGTGAATAATGAAGTTTTATACTTCATAAAGAATATTACCTGTGGACCACCAATTATGAATAAACCACATGGATTTATATGGTATACGGTATTTTCATCTAAGTACTTTGTTGGAATGACCTGTTTGATCACTTTTTCCATAACTTCTGAGCGTAATTCATCCAAACTAATTTTATCACTATGTTGCAAGGATACTACAACTGTATGCACACGTCTTGGTACGCATGCACCATGATCAAAAAATATTCAGCAGTAACCTGAAATTCATATATGTAAGTAATGGGCACAATTATTTGTGAAATTAGAAAATAAACGTTCAGCTCAGTATAGTATGTTTAATCAAGACTACTCAGAAGTAGCAAATATAACAAGTCATCATGAACTTCAAATAATGAAAATTATTTTTGAAACAACCGTCTTTATACAATTGTAATATCTGGATATATTCAAACCTGTGTTTACTATCAGGCCTAGCCCACCAGAATTCTCCAGATCTCCTTAATTCTGCAATACGTTGATTCATTTGTGAGAGAGCACTACAGTTAGTGGCATACATTCTTCCGTCTCATCAGTTGCATATCCAAACATTAAACCCTAAAATAAGAAACCTG